CCTGCACACACCTTCACGCCCCGCAAGGTAGGGTTGCCACTGCCTGTGGTCTTCTAGGGGTGGGATCAGTGCCTGGGGTCTGGGGCGAGCTTCATCATCCAGTCTCTGTGCTTCTGCCCTGCAGAGGACAGTGCCATCCGGTGTGGGCAGCTGGACCTGCTTCAGGACTGGCTGGCTGATTTCCGAAAATCTACCTCCTCGTCCAGCGCAGCCAACCCCGAGGAGCTGGTGGCATTTGATGTCGTCTGCGGAGATTTCAACTTTGACAACTGCTCCTCTGGTGAGGTTGGGCTCCTCCCCACTGGAGTCTCCCACTCTGGGGAGGCTGTGGGCTCAGTCACAGCTAAACAGACTTCGTTAGGCAGCTCAAAGAATTCCTGCTCCTGGAGAGCATGTGGGTGGAGTATTTAGCAAGACTGATTTCTCTGCCCCCTAGAAATCCTAGTACAGGAAGAGCCCACGCTCTCCCTAGAAAGCTCAGTGGCCTCTTTGCTGCAGACAAGTATGCCCTAAAAATGAATCTCTGACAAGGAAGGCTTGGGGCCTCTGAAGCAGGCGAAAGGCGAGTAACACTCATCAACGGGTGCTGCGCTCTCACTTCGAGCCAGCTGTGATTCTAATCGCTGTTCCACTTAAGTCTTTTAACAACCCTGATAGGAAGCACTGCATGTCTCCACGGGGTGTGGAGGAGGAAACTGATACTCAGAGAGGCTGGAGAACCAGCCCAAGGTCACGCAGCCAGGCAGTGATTGCACTGGCATCTGAATCCTGGGAATCACACCTTAAACCATAACGGCTAAAAGACTATAATAAGCTCATCAGTGAAACTGCAAACACTTGCTGTAAATAACTTATCTCTGGATCCAATGACCATACAGACCTTGTGGGAACCTTTCCTGAGGACAGTGGTCACCATCACTGTCCTCAGAGGGAAGGCTGAAGACCAGGGCGTGTGCTGAGGGTGGTGGTCCCAAGGACACAGAAAACCAGTGACAAATGAAGCATGAGCAACCTAAATTGGGATAGAAATCCCACCCAGGGAGAGTGACATAAGGGATGGGGACCTGGGCACATGGGGAATAACTGATGGGAAGCAGGGGCACAGGCCCTGCAGGACAGCAAAGTCCCCTGATGCCTCAGCATTTCCTCCCTCCCCATACAGACGACAAGCTGGAGCAGCAGCACTCCCTGTTCACCCACTACAGGGACCCCTGCCGCCTGGGGCCCGGGGAGGAGAAGCCATGGGCCATCGGTGAGCTGGAGCTGGAGCTGGAGCTGGGCTGGGAGAGGCGGGTGGGGACTGGGCTCCCCGCAGGCTTCCCTCAAAGACCACCAGGATCTGCTCCCAAGACCTCACTGCTGGGGAAGGGCCCCACTCAGCTGCCCCTGACTAGCAGAAGCCCTTGCCCATCCACAGAGGCCACCCCCATAGAGGTTGCCTGGGCCCTGCCTGCAGCGATTGAGTCGCCCCCTTGTCCCCCACCCCAGGTACTCTGCTGGACACAAACGGCCTGTATGACGAGGATGTGTGCACACCAGACAACCTGCAGAAGTAAGCACCGTGCTTCCAGGCCTGGGACGAGGCACTGAGCCCCGACCCAGGTGGAGACAGGGACTGGGCGGGAGCCACATGGGAGAGCTCAGCTTGGGCTCATGAGGGCTTTTGTTTGGCAGGAACCTGCCCCTCATCCTGCCTTTGAGAGCTGGGCCAGGCAGGTGGACCTCATGTCCTCCACCCAGGGGGACTGGCCTTCCCAAATCTCTAACGGGTGTTTCCTAAACCTCATTTGGCAGGAGCCAGCCCTGCCCCCGGCCCCTGCCTGCCAGGTATAGGAAAGGGCCTGTAATCTCCCAGGGCCCTGCTGAGGCCCAACCTCTGTAGAAGAGCCACTGGGTATGGCACCTGCTGAAGGGAGCCTGGCAGCTTGTAGCGCCCATCAAGCAAATACAGACACCAGCAGCAATAAAACAGCCAACTATTTTCAAAGTAGAGATAGTTCCATCCCAGCCAAAATTCATTCTTGAGCCCAGTGAGATACCCATAAAGAATGCATGTAAGAGGCCAACAGCAGAACCAATTTATAATTCACAGCCCGAGACTGCAGTCACAGCGATGGTTCCTTGCAGCTAATTTGAGCCAATTAATTAATTATAGACTAAATTTGAAACATCCTATGCAAAGAAAATTTTTTTATGAGAGGATGATTTAAAAATGACTACCAGTAACTCTCAGACCATTGATGCTGGAATTAATTATCAAAGGCAAAGGACAGTGATGGATTCCATTTCTGGGATGTAACCATGTTCTGAATGTCATTAATGTATTTATATTAAAGCTGACAAAAACCTTGTGGAAGCCCATGTTTGCAGGGCCTGCCTCTCCAGGTGCCCCTTTTCCACCTGTGCAGGCATTCACTGACCTGGCAGCCTGTTCGGGGTCTCTGTCCTGCTGCACTTCCCGTCTCAGACGCTGGCCCAAGCCAGCCCTCTGCGACGGGGGCTCCCAGGAGAGGTTTCTAAGACTCTGGCCCAGTGGTGCTGAGGCCCCAGGTGACAGGCCGGCAGGAAGGAGGCAGGCACACTGCTTGTCTCAGCGCAATGATGCCAGAAAGGGATCTGATGTCACAGGCTCCCGCTCCTGCACCCTGCCCTCCCTGTGGATCCCCTAGCACCATCATGGGTTTCCTCTCAGAAGCAGGATGACAGTCTGTGCCCCGAAGAGTGTTGAGGCCCACAGCAACCGTTCTCATTTCAGAGGAGGAAACAGAGGGTTGGAGGCTTGGTGACATAAGTAGGGTCAAATAGCCACGTAGGGACAGCCCCACACGAGCGTCCTTGGAGGTGCTCTCCTGGCTCCCTCAGCCCTGTCAACCCAGGAACAACAGTCACAGGTGCTCAAGACTCATGGCACAGACCAAGCTTCCCAAAACAGGCCCATTATTGGCTCAGGGCAGAAGCCTGTTCTAGAGAATGAGTGGGGTCAGTTCTGTCCGAGTTCAGAAAGGGAAAGTGAGTGCTGGCTAGGATGGGGTGGACGGAACACCCCAATGGGCTCCGGAGCCCTGTTTCAGCCAGACACTGCAGGCTGACTCGGCCTGCCCCCAGCTGAAGCCCTTTTTGGACCTGCAGGAGAGACAGATCTTAAACGCAGAGCATTGGTCCAGCCCACCCACTCCCACCCTGGGATGAGACCATGGCTCCATAAACAGCCCCTGCCAGGCCCAGGGGCGGGCATGGGGACTCACCTGCCTCCTGCGTGTGTGGACAGGGTCCTGGAAAGTGAGGAGGGCCGCAGGGAGTACCTGGCATTTCCCACCAGCAAGAGCTCGGGCCAGAAGGGGCGGAAGGAGCTGCTGAAGGGCAATGGCCGGCGCATCGACTACATGCTGCATGCCGATGAAGGGCTGTGCCCAGACTGGAAGGCCGTGAGTCAGGCGGGCCCAAGCTGGGCAATGAGAGGGCGGGCCGGGCCCTGCAGCTCTCAACAGTCGAATCCCTGAGACGCCATACCCCAGGCCGCCCTTACAATGACACCCGACACTCCCTCAGACCGTTAGGGCCCCAGGGCCCCAGATCCTCCAGGCCTCATCCCTCTGACTGCACGAAGGTCCCAGCCTGGGGCCTCACTTTTAGGGATCCCCAGGCCGCTTCCTGCAGGATGTCCTTGGGATCTTACCAGTCTGTTCCTTCCCTCTCCCACTCGCCCCAGGAGGTGGAAGAATTCAGTTTTATCACCCAGCTGTCTGGCCTGACGGACCACCTGCCAGTAGCCATGAGACTGATGGTGTCTTCGGGGGAAGAGGAGGCATAGACCATCCGGAGCAGTAGGGCCTCTGCCAGCCCTTGGAGCCGCAGCCCATCCCTGGGCCGTGTCCCCTCCATTGAGCGCCCACAGCTGGGGGGAGGTGGGCAGGGGCAGAGAGGGAGTCACAGTCAGTGCCCGGGAACCTGGAAGCTGCGCTGTTCTGCGCCTCTGGGCCTCACTGCAGACAGAGGAGTCCAGCCAGCCCGGGGAGCCCCCGGCTGCCTAACAGTGCCATTCTTTCACAACGTAATTTTCTACAAATCTACAGCACAACCAAGTTTGTAACCCGTGGGTTAGTACGAGGACCGGGTTCATGTATTCTCTGTATCTCTTCTTAAGCTTCGTCCAGGGTTCTTTATTTTTGTCTGCTGCCAATGTCGTCTCGCATGCCTGCACCCTCGCATGCACGCTGCCCGCATGCCACGTGCCATGCCATAGCCACAGACCCCTTGCTTGGGCCTCACCCAAGGCCAAACTCCAAACACAACCAGAACTAGCCAAAGAAGCACTTCCTGGGCAGGGCTGCTAGCTCTCCCGCCTCCTATGTGGGCCGGCTCCCGCAGGGCCCGAAGGCTACATCTTTACCAGTCAGCCTAGGGCTTCTCCCAGGGTCTCGCATTCAAGGGCGATTACATTTTAAAAAGAAAAACAGAAAAATGTTTATCACAAAACCAATCCTCACTTTACAGGGTCTGTAAGCCACTCACCGAACTTTGCTCTTCCCGAGAAAGGGTCCCTTCCCAACCCAGGCACAACAGGGTCCGGCAGGCTCTGAAGCCCAGGGCCTCTTCCGGGAGGCTCCCATCTGGGCAGTGGAGCCATAAACGGAATCAAGAAGCGAGCATCCACTTTTTTACAGGAAGAAGGGACTCATGCATAAAGGGGGGTGGGGGGGTTCCTGATTTTGAAAATAATTGATTTGTAGCTTCTCTTCTATCAAAACCAACACATTCTCTTCTTTCTGCCAATCCTCTCTCCCCTCCGGACACCTCTCTGGTTCGGGACCAATCCCTTCCTGGGGACGTGCCCCACCCGTGGGCCAGCTGAGCTCAGGAACCCCTGCCTGTCCCCCGGGTGGGGCTGCAGCTCTGGCCTCCCAGGCCCATCCTCAACAGCTACCCCAGCCAACATCAAGGCCACAAGGGGAACCCAGCCTATGAGGCAGGAAGCCAGGATGCAGAGAGGAACCTAGCCCCTCACCACTGTGCGGGCTGGGGCAGCAAGGCCAACAGTTGCCGCTTTACCGGGGCAGGGCGTGTACTGGCACCCAGGTTTGGCATGGCAGAGCTGGCCAACAGCCTGTGGTCCTTCATCTGCCCCCCAGTTCCAAGAGGCCTACAGCCCCCAGCACTGCCTCTGCCCACCTGCCTTTAACAGACTCCAGGGCTGCTCCTGCCATGCAGCAAAGGCTTTGTCTGTTTCAAAGTTTGAGACTCAACTTGAGGGACTGTTTTTGACAATCCCCGCTGACCTTCCCTCCTCGTGGTGCCGTGGCCCTGCACCCAGCCTGGCCCAGGGCCAGCTTTGCCTAGCGAGGCTGGAGGGAGCACCAGGACCTGCTGTCTGCTGTCAGCCCCTCCTGGTGCTGGTGCCCTGTTGCTGTGCCTTGTCATCCACTAAGCTGCAAGAGGGACAGAGAGAGGACCACGCAGCCAGCCAGACGCCTGGCCCTGTGCTGGGGCAGACAACGCTGCAGAGCCCGGGGAGCCTGGTCCTAGGACGTGTGTCCGTGGCGACACTGGTGTGTCTGAACTCACCTTGCCTGGGAAGCACCATCTGCGCCCCGCCCCGAGCCCCACCCCCTCCAGTCCACAGCCAGGAAGGGGCCACTGAGGGCAAACGTCCTGCGAGGCTCTCTGCCCAACCTGCTCCTCCAAGGGTCTGGCCTTCATGCTGTGGAGCCACCCCCACCCCACTGCCCACTCTCAGAAGCAGCTGGGACTCTGCTCACACAAGTGACTGGGCCGGCCCTGGACCCCCAGAACCCCCCAAGCCGCATGCCAGCTGCCTGCACAGGGAGAGCAGCTGAGGCCCAGGCAGGAGCCCCACACTAGACCCCAGAATAGCTTTCCCACCCAGGCACCTCCCCTCTGGGGGGCAGCAGGCGTGGGAGTCAGGGCTGCACGTTCCTCCCCTCCCACCTCACAGGCGGCCTTAGGCAAGTCATTCTTTGTTATCACAAGGTCGCCTCTGCCTAGCCCGGTCCTCGCATCCAGAGCAGGGACGTGCAGCCCCCAGGCCCCCACACACCTCCCTCTTCGCCAAGGCCGGGACCACCAACCACACGTTTCATTGTGGCTGCCTGTGGGCTCCCAGGGCTTGCATACAGGCCAGGCCTGTCCATTGACTTTTAAAAGTGAAACTGCTGGATCTCAGATTCTATGGCATCTAAGGCCAAGCAGGGGTGGGCACACAGGTCACCCAAAGCCCACACTGAGCCTCTGTGCCTGTCCTAGGCCCCAGTCAAGGAAGCCATGAGGCGGGGGGGGGGGGGGGGGGATCCGCTGAGGAAGGAAATGTTCATTTTCATTTGTCCAAAACCACCTTAAGTATATTAATCTTGATGCTTTTTAACTATTGCTTTTTAACTTGCTGAGATTTAGAAATACTGTTATAAAAAGAAAAACTTTTTTAGTTTCTGTATTTTTTTCTGTATTGTATCTTCATGGGACATTAGGGGTTTTCTATGGTAAGCACACCTACGGTTTTGGTAAAAACATTATCAAATATACATCCAGACGGTTCTTCCCTAGAAGAAAAACAATCTTTACACCTGATAAAACATTTTGAAAAGAGAGGTGTTCTTTTCCCTTACTGGTGCTGAAAGGAAGGATGGATAATGAGGAGAAAATAAAACTGTGAGGCTTGAGGTTGTTCTCCACTTATTTCATGACTAGCTGGGGCCAGGCCTCAAGCGCACACCTGGGGGCAGCGGATGGACTTCCTACCTCCAACTGCAGCATGGGCACTAACCACTTCTGCTCTGAATGCAAGGACACCGGGACTCTGCTCAAACAGGCAGCTTGCCTGGCCTGGAACAAGCCTCACCTCCTGAGCAGCAAGCCGGAGGCCACTCAGTTCTCTCACTTGATGTCTGCTGTTACCTCTGAGAGCTGAGACATAGCCAAAGGGCGTCGTGAGGGAGAAGCCAGGCCACGGCACCTGGGCCTCTCTGGCCCCCAGGTGAAGCAGGGCTGGACAGGGCCGCTCCAAGCCATACCCCATCTGCAGGAAGGGCTTTCCAATCCGAGGGTGGTGTGGGGGACAGGGCTGCCTCCTGGGTCCCCTTCCTGACAGCTGCTTTCCTGGGCCTGTGTCAGGAACTGCTCTGGGACAGCTGCCTGGTGTCCAGTCTCAGGTCCTGGCAGGCCACCAGCTAGTACAGCAGTGAGGCCAGACACCTATGGATGTGGCTTGAAGTTACCTGGCAGGTGAAAGGGCCAGAACCCAGGCCTCTCAGCCTGGGTCTTCAAGCCCCAGAGACTCAGCCACAACTCAGTGTCTCCACCCCCTAGAAGGCCAGAAGTCTCCACACTCCTAGCAGAAGCCAGAAGAGCAGGGACCAGGAGATCCCTGAGTGGGAGAGGCAGGACAGGCTCCCACATGGGCACTGCTCACCAAAGGCGGCATGGACAACCTCACCCCGCATCCCCACAAGCCTCCCCTGCTTCTACTCCCTCCCCAGTTAGGGAAAGATGTCTCTGCCTTCAAGCTTTCTCAGCACCTCAGAAACACAAGCAGGGGGATCTCCCCAGCCCCTCGAGGGCTCCAAATTCAGTCACCGGCTCATGCTCCCTGCCACAGCTGGAGCCAGAGGCCCGCAGTGCAAACATGCAACACAGCGAGGCCTCTCCCGTCCCTGAGGCCGAGCAGCTCCCGGAAGGAGAGGAGCATCTTCAGCCTTCCCCTCAGAAAGCCCTGAGCCACTTTATTGCCCAGGAGCGGTCAGTTGGGTGTCTTCGAGCCTGAATTCCATGGCGATGTCGCCGGTGTCAGGGTGAAACTCCACCACATAGCTGACCGTCTGTGGGCCACTCAGCGGCACTCTGGGATCTGGGGCAGGGCTGAAGAAGTAGACGGCCTGCTTACAGTGGGGGTTCCAGCAGCAGACCCCCTGTAGGAAGAAGAGCAGGAAGACAGTGAGGGCTCCCTGGCACCTGAGCCTCCTTCCTGGCCAGCCTCCAGCCCAGGCAGCTTGCAGCGAAGAGAAGCTGTGCAGAGGCCAAATGATTTAGGACCACTGGGGGGTCATCATCTAGCCCGAAAAACTTGTGACAGAAACACCCAGAGCAAGGGGGCAGGAAGGCCTCCCCAGAGGGCGCCTCTCTCAGGGTCCACACCCACTCTGGGCCCAGCACGTGGGCACTACCTCGGGGTCCACAGGCTCCAGGAGACCAGTGCTGAGCATGTTCTCCGGGGTCAGGTGGTACTCCATCCACAGCACTGCCGCATGGCTCTGCCCGGGCCTGCCAGAGAGAAGGGGGCCCAGCAGAAACAGTCACACAAGAGGCAGGGGGCATGGCTGCAGCTCCTGTGCTTTCCAGAAACCTGTGGTCTTTCCTACTTCCTTCCCACCCTGCCGGGAGCTCCTAACACTGCACCTAACTAAACTCGCCTCAGAAAAACCCAGCCAGAACAGCCACAGCCAAGCCCCGACCTGAGCCGCCCCAAGCCCTGTAGCCAGGCCACACATGTAGCAAGGCCAGCGTGGCTGCAGGGTCCAGGGGGCTTGAGGCACAGCCTGGCACTGAAGGCTGGAAAGCCCCTCTGGTACCATGGACAGCACCCTGGGAGTTTGTGCACCGGAGCAGGGCAGGGCAACCTATGCCTGGACCCAAGCAGCACTCGCTGACCCCAACCTGCTTCAGCTCCCAGAAGGGTTAAGGAAAATGGTACATCTGTGACTACAGGAACCAAACCCCCATTCTTCTGAGCCGTGATCCAACAAGGGAGCCTCAGCTGTAGGGGGGGCAAGTGGAGCCCTCCCTGGCTCCCCCTACACTGGCACACACAGGACCATGGAAACCAACACATGCACAGGGGTGCTCTGAGAGAGAAGGGCAAGGTCATGCGTGTCAACATCTCCCAGGCCAGCTGCTCGCCAAGGGGACGGTAATTCCGAGGCCAAGCAGCAGCCCCTCCCTGACCCCTGGCCTTCCCTGCACCCACCTCTGGAGCTCCACAATGCCCTCGGCACGCAGGGGTTGCAGGGGCACCAGCTGCTGGAAGTCAAAGGCCAGGATCTGCCAGGGTTCGGAGAGGCTGCGGCACGGGTACTCCCACAGTGGGTGCGGCTCAGCCTCCCTGCTCTCCCTGAAGTCCAGGGCACGCTGTGAACAGAAGTGGGCCTGGAGGCTGCAGAGACACGCAGCCGGCCAGACAGACCCCCTCCCCGGTTAGTTTGGCTCCCACTGACTGCGGTCACAAGGGGTGTGTGTTCTCCCATAAAGATGCTGAGCACCCAGCAAACCGGCAACTCCCGCTCTCTGCCACTACGCTCTCAGTGGCTCCGCAGGCACCCCTCACTCTGAGCCTTGCTTTCCAGATAAAATTTAAGATGGGGTGGTTCCACCTGTCTCAAGCTGTTCTGAGGACCACATGTCTACATCAGTGGTGAGAACACCCAGCACCTAGAAACTTGGTGACCACCACAGCAGTGTGGCCTGAGAGGTGGGCCCTAGGCCATGGGGAGGGATAAACACGTGAGAGAACAGCCCTAGTGCCTGGCAGCAGGCAGGCTGGAAGCACCTGCATCCAGGAGGGACGTAGAAAGCTGCCTGGAGGAAGGGAGCTGGCGGACAAATGGGAGCTGGCAGAAGCAAGGCCAGAGGGGCCTCAAGGACAGATCTAAGCCAGGAGAGCAGGCCAGGGCACCCAGGCCAGCCAGGCCACTCTGCTGGGGTGTGTGGGGAGCCATCTGGGGCATTCCCGCAGTGGGGACGTGGCCAGACTCAGACCTACAAGTTCACATGGGCTCTGTGCAGAGGACAGCCAGAGTGGGAGGGGCCCAGACCAGGATGGCAGCAGTGAGGGGCAGCCTGGGTCGGAAGCTTGCTGGGAGCATGAAGACCAGCAGCAGGGAACAGGAAAATTCGCCAGGGAAGATGCACCTGGGGCCCTGGACCTGGCTGGTCGTGTGAAATGGCACCAGGTCTAAGACAGGGCACTAGAAGGGCCAGGCTGAGGGTGGCAAAGGGCAGGTGAATTTGGAAATCATAAAAGCAAAAACATCTGGCACCCCCCCGCAGGACATCCACTGCTCTCAGCCATCTGTGTGAGCACACGAGAGACGGACACTGGCCAAGGACCAGAGTGGAAGAACCCTATCAGCAAGAGGGGAAAAGGACAGCCAGGGCCAGGTCAAGAACAAGAGCCCAAGGGAGGCGTAGAGCACACAGATCCAGAGCACACGGGGCTCAGCACAAACGAGATTTCTAGAAGCATGCAATAGTCAGTGGTCTGCTGTTGAGTGGCAGGTAAGATGCAAACTGAAAACACCCAATAGGTTTAATTTACTTAAAAAAATGTTTGGGGCTGGGCGCGGTAGCTCAGCCCTGTAATCCCAGCACCCTGTAATCCCACACCCGCAAGGCGGGTGGATCACAAGGTCAAGAGATCAAGACCATCCTGGCCAACATGATAAAACCCCATCTCTACTAAAAATACAAAAATTGCCAGGCGCGGTGGCTCACGCCTGTAATCCCAGCACTTAAGGAGGCTGAGGCGGGTGGATCACGAGGTCAAGAGATCAAGACCATCCTGGTCAACATGGTGAAACCCCGTCTCTACTAAAAATATAAAAAATTAGCTGGGCATGGTGGCGCGTGCCTGTAATCCCAGCTACTCGGGAGGCTGAGGCAGGAGAATTGCCTGAACCCAGGAGGCAGACGTTGCGGTGAGCCGAGATTGCACCATTGCACTCCAGCCTGGGTAACAAGAGCGAAACTCCATCTCAAAAAAAAAAAAAAAAATTAGCTGCACATGGTGGCACACACCTGTAATCCCAGCTACTCAGCAGGCTGAGGCAGAGAATTGCTTGAACCCGGGAGGCAGAGGCTGCAGTGAGCCGAGATCATGCCACTGTACTCCAGCCTGGGAGACAGAGGGAGACTCTGTCTCAAAAAAGAAGTGTTCACATAGGCAATCCATGTTCACAGCAAATGTGAACAGAAAGGCGAGCAGAGGCAGAAAAGCCCCACCTCCCGATGTGCAGCTATTGCTGCGGGACTGCTGCTCCCCGATCCTCCAGTGTCCGTGAGATTTCTTTCTTTTTTTGACAGCGTCTCGCTGTCACCCAGCCTGGAGGCTGTGGCGCAACTGCAGCTCACTGCAGCTTCCACCTCCCAGGCTAAAGCCATCCTCCTACCTCATCCTCCTGAGTAGCTAGGAATACAAGTGTGCACTACCATGCCTGGCTAATTTTCTGTATTTTTTGTCTTGCTATATTGCCCAGGCTGCTCTCAAATTTCCTGGCTCACGCAACCCACCTGCCTCAGCCTCCCAGAGTGCTGGGATGACAAGCAGGAGCCACGTGCATTTCCTTAATACCATACTCCTCACCCTGTCCCTCTCAGGTGATGGAACAGGACTCTCAGCTTCAGCCCTCATAAATCCAAGGACCACTGGCGCTGCCAGGACAGTCCATGGTTCTGGGGAACGCAGGCCCAGTTGCTACTGTTCAGGGCTCTGCCAATCCTTACCATGTAAATAATCTGTGGGACACTCCTCACATACCCCTCCCTGGGAATGGAGCCCCCACTGTGAAAATGGCTGCCCAAGAAGGTTCCCAGACTGCTTCTGGAAAGGCTGCCCCAAGAGAAAACAAGCTGGGATCACTGGCGGGAGCAGTTACAATGACAGGACGTGCAGGCCCAGTGGAGATTCTAACTCAGGGTGACAGCACAGAGCCAAGAACAGGCCTGGTACCAAGCAATGCCCGTGGTGAACCACACAAAATGGCAGCACCTGATCTCACTGCCCCCACCAGAAGAGCCTGTGCTGCCCAAGCCAGGTCCCTGGCAAAGGACGGCGCCACAGGAGCGGGTGGGTGGGACTACACAGTGTGGCCCTGCCTACCTTAATCATGTCGTCCATGATGTGCACGTCGAAGCCTTCGCAGTCACCACAGGGGCTCCGGATCCGCCACAGGTCCTGTGAGGAAGGAGCAGCCCTGTCAGGACACAGGAAAGTGTGTGGCAGCAAGAACAAGAGACACAGCTTGCTATTCCCTGCACACCTGAGAGAGACCCCCAAGTATGAAGGGACTTGGAGAGATCAAATATCCAGGATGGTTTCTTTAACAGACTCAGTCGGGCAGGAACCTGCAAGCTCTGGCGTGACACCAAAGTCCTCTCCGATGAGACAGCCAGAGCTACCAGGCTGGGGGTTGCACACTCCTGTCCAGGCCATCCTGAACACAATCTCTCTGGGAAGGAATATGTAAGCCAGCTCTCCCCACAGGATCATCTCCATTTCACGACAATGCTGGGGAGAGAAAAAGGCCTTGCCAAGAGGAACCCAGAGGACACTCGGCCACGTGGCCTTCCCTCCCTTTCTCCTGGCATAACATGTATGAATCATGACATCCCCTCTTCGGCTGTGGAAATCAGGTAAACAAGTAACACAGGAGCAATGTCCAGAAATTAAGTGATGGAGCCACTAAGCTACTAAGAGGGAAACCACTCTCATCAAACGAGATTCACCCTCCATTCCAAGTTAAAGCTTTTCAAAATCCTTTTAATAAAAATGCCCTTCTCAGGCAGGGCGTGGTGGCTCATGCCTGTAATCCCAAACCTTGGAGGCTGAGATGGGTTGATTGCCTGAAGTCAGGAGTTCGATACCAGTCTGGACAACATGGTGAAACCCTGTCTCTACTAAAATACAAAAAATTAGCCAGGTATGGCCGCATGCACCTGTAATCCCAGCTACTCAGGAGGCTGAGGCAGGAGAATTGCTAGAACCCGAGAGATGGAGGTTGGGGTGAGCCGAGATCACCCCCCCCACCTCACTCCAGCCCGGGGCAACCGAGTGAGACACTGTGTCTACATTAAAAAAAAAAAAAAAAAAAAAAAAAAAAGTCCTTCCAAAAATGACTTTGTGACTGTGGTTCTTCTTTGATGAGAAAATTAAAAGGAAGCTTTTCCATTTTTTCTTGCATAAAGCAGCTGACTCTTCCATCTCAAAATGCTTTGAACTGAAGCCTTGGCTCTTAATGAGAGCAGAGCAGACTGCACCGCATGGCTTCTGAAATGCTTAATTTATAATTTTTAATTATTCTGATAAGCCACAATTGTAAAATGACAACACTCAGCCATTTCCATTTCATACGTCACATTATTGCATTTTGAAAGAGGCAAGCATCTTCTATTCAGCCCCACAGTGTGCTGACACAGAGAAGAAAAAACCAAGCTCAAATCATCAAGGCCCGAGTTGCTCTACAGGCACCCAAGGTTCCTGCAAGAAAACAAGGATCCCCACCGGCTTCGTCTGCTTTTGTTTTCTGCAACACCGCCTGGGTGACCTACCCTGAACTCCACAACCACAGCGTGCAGCGAGGCTGCCTGGGGCATCACCGCAGCGCCTGGCCCCAGGTGCTGGTCCACAGTGGTCCGAACATACCAGAAGTAGAGGTTGTGCCACGGCAGCAGGCTGGTAGTGAAGAACGGCTCACCCAGGAGAAGAGAGACCTGGGAAGCAGGGTGAGAAGCAGGGCCCAGGTATTAGGAGGGCTCAGCCCAGGAGTGTTCGCAGGAACACGGAAGCAACAGGCCACCCAGTCACTCAAGTCATTCCCTCCCTTCTCTCCCTCCCTCCCTCTGCCACTCCCTCCCTCCCCCCTCTCAGCCACGCACTCACTCCCTCCCACTCAGCCACTCACTCCCTCCCTCCCTCTGCCACTCACTCACTCATTCTGTCACTCATTCACTCACTCATTCTGTCACTCAGTCACTCAGCCACTCACTCCCTCCTTCCCTCAGCCACTCACTCAGTCACCCGCTCATTCACTCATTCACTCACTCATTCTGTCACTCATTCACCCACTCACTCACTCATTCACTCACTCAGTCACTCATTCACTCATTCACTCACTCACTCATTCACTAACTCCCTCCCTCAGTCAATAAGCAGGGTACCTGCCCTGGAGGCTGTAAAGGTTACAACCAGATATGATTCTGGTGCTCAGGAGGGCGGAGTGGAACAGGGAAGCAGACAAGGTGGAGCCGACCCCATATGAAAGCAAGCAGCAAGGAAGAGGGGGCATAGAGGAACCCCAGAAACAAAGTGCCAGAGGGGCTTCCAGAGAGACATCCTGTCAACCCCCACTCAATGCTTTATCTCAGGACTTACTGGGGCTTGTCTCTGGCTCTGGCTCTGAGCACCACAAGAGCAGGGACTGGTGGCCCAGCATCCCAAGCAGTGGGACAGTGCCACGCCCAGATAGTCCATGAACATTTGAGTAAATTAACAAATGCATGATGAAGAGCCTGAATGGCCGAGGTGAGGGGCAGTAGGGCCAGGAGCAAGTCTGGGAGACAGCAAGGCCCCCCAAGGCAAGGGTGTAGAGCTGGATAGCAGCAGCCAGGTCAGGGTAAGGGGCTGGACTCATTCCAGAGGTGGTGGCAGGGGTGGGGGTGTCACTACAAGCTTTCATCAGGGGTTCAAAATCAGAAGGAATGTGATTTAGAAGATCCTGCTTAGGACTATGAAGAGTGGATAGGAACCTACTGGTGCTGGGAATGGCAGTGACCTAGGAGATTGCAGAAATAGTCCTGGCAAGAAACAGAGACTGCAGGATGAGAGGAGAGGAAGGGGTGGCAAAGGCTATGGAGGCAGCTGACCCCGGGCAGGCCCAAGCAGATGGGCACCAAGGGAGGCCAGTCAGAGATGATGGAGATGCAGCGGGAAATGCTGGGAGACAGAAAAGGAGGGAGGAGTGCTTCCACTCCCAGCATCAGAAACAAGACAGAAAAGGATGCCTGCTCCCACCACTCCAATTCAGTGCAACCCCAGTCTACCGATGCCCCACACAATGGCTTTCAGAATCATCTCCTATGTCCTCATCTATGAGGGAGAAAGGGCAACTTGAGCATTTATAGCAGCATTACTCACAACAGCCCAAAAGTAGGAGCCACCCAAATGTCCATAAGCTGATGAACAGATAAATAACATGGCCTGTCCATACAATGGAATCTTATTCAGTAAGAAAGAGAAATAAGGTATTGATTTAGGCTACGACATGGATGAGCCGTGAAAACGTGAAGCCACATGAAAGAGGCTGGCCATGAAAAACCACACTGTCTAATTTCATTCACACGAGATGCCCAGAATGGACAAGCCTGGAGGCAGAAAGGAGAACGGCTGCCCAGGGCAGGGGGACTGCGGACAAGTGACTGCAGACGGGTAATGAGAGGATTCTTTTTTTTTTTTTTTTTTGAGATAGAGTTTCGCTTTTGTTACCCAGGCTGGAGTGCAATGGCGCGATCTCGGCTCACTGCAACCTCCGCCTCCTGGGTTCAGGCAATTCTTCTGCCTCAGCCTTCCGAGAAGCTGGGATTATAGGCACGCACCACCATGCCCAGCTAATTTTTTGTATTTTTAGTATAGACGGGGTTTCACCATGTTGACCAGGATGGTCTTGATCTCTTGACCTTGTGATCCGCTGGCCTCAGCCTCCCAAAGTGCTGGGATTACAGGCATGAGCCACCGCGCCCGGCAAGAGGATTCTTAAACTGATGTGGTGACAGCTACAGAACCTTATGAATACACAAAAATCACTGAGCAAATCATATGGTATGTGAATTATATCTCAATAAAACTGTTATTTTTAAACTGGGCAAAAGGCTTAAATAGACATTTCACCAAGCAAGACATAAGCACACAAAAAAATGTTCACCAGCATCAGTCAATAGGCAAATACAAATTAAAACTATGCTAGGGCCGGGCGCGGTGGCTCAAGCCTGTAATCCCAGCACTTTGGGAGGCCGAGGCGGGTGGATCACGAGGTCGAGAGATCGAGACCATCCTGGTCAACATGGTGAAACCCCGTCTCTACTAAAAATACAAAAAATTAGCTGGGCATGGTGGCGTGTGCCTGTAACCCCAGCTACTCAGGAGGCTGAGGCAGGAGAATTGCCTGAACCCAGGAGGCGGAGGTTGCGGTGAGCCGAGATCGCGCCATTGCACTCCAGCCTGGGTAACAAGAGCTAAACTCCATCTCAAAAAAAAAAAAAAAAACAAAACAAAAACTATGCTAAGACATCACCACACTCCTACTAAATGGTTATATTAAAAAAAGCCGAAGCCAAGTGCTGGTGAGAATCCCAGAACCTGGACCCTCAGACGTTACCGATAGAGACATAAAATGCACAGCCTCTTTGAACAACAAAGTTGACCATAACCACCACATGACCCAGCAATCCACATCAAGGCATCTGCGTAAGAGAACTGAGGACATATATTCTCACTAAGACCGATGCACACATGTTCACAGCAACCTTATTCAAAATGGCCAAAAAACTGGACCCAATCCAAATGTCTCTAGGCGGGGGAATGGAATGCTACGCAGCACTGAGAAGAATGAAATGGGTTAACCTCAAAGACGCTATGCTCAGTGAAAGGTGCCAAACTCCCAAGCTTACACACTGTATTACCTCACTTTTGAGAAACGCCAGGAGGCGGAACACGCTGGAGACAGAAACGAGACCAGTGGCTGTTGGACCTGGGGAATGGGTGTGCTGACTATTAACAGGCTCCTGGGAATTCGGGAGGTAAATGTTCTCTTTTCAATTTTTTTTTTTAGAGACAAGCTCTCACTGTCAGCCGTGCTGTAGTGCTCTGGCACAAGCACAGCTCACTGCAGCCTCTAACTCCTGGGCTCTGGCAATCCTCCCACCTCATCCACATCAGCCTCCTGGGACTACAGGCACGTGCTACCACACTTGGCTAATTGTTTTATTTTTACGGAGACAGGGTCTCCCTATGTTGCCCAGATTGGTCTTGAACTCCTGGGCCCAAACAATCCTCCCACCTTGGCTTTCCAAAGTTCTGGGATTATAGGCATGTGCCACCATGCCTGGCCTGGAAATGTTCTAAAATGAGACTGGTGATGGTTAACTCCATACATTTACTTTAAAAAACCACTGAACTGCACACTTGAAATGCATTAATTTTGTGGTATGTCAATTATATCCCAATAAAGCTGTTATTTAAAAAAAGACTGGTAGGAAAGATGAATGATGACAGCTCCACTTTGGGTGAGTCCAGTTTGAAGGGCCTGTGTCAAGGAAAGGTGATAGGCTGGTAGCTGGACATGAGATTTGAATCCAAAACAGTAAAGAGTGAAAGCCGACCCTGATGGTCACTGATTCACTCATGGGAAGGAACCTGATTACCAGAGAGGATGCAGTCAGGGGAAGAGAGGAACATGGGGAGAGGGACACAGAGCAGTGCAAGGAAAGAATCAAGACTGACAAGGAGCAGCCAGGAAAGGGACGGGAAAGCAGCTTCCCCAGCACAGGCAGAAGTCCTGGGTCACAAGGACAAGCAGCTGGAACAGATGAAGCCTGCAGGGAGACCATGGGAGTAACAAGGTTGCTGGCAGAAGCAGTTTCAGGGCCTGGAAGCCTAACTGCAACAGGAAGCTGTGGACGGGAAGTAAAGACAGGAGTGCGGTGAAGAGGAAAGGACACGCTCTGCTCCCAGGAACCCCAAGAGAGCTGCTCCGTCCTGACGTGAAGGAGCAGAGATGAGGCCGAGCTAAGAGCAGTGCAGCTGGGTGCAGTGGCTCATGCCTGTAATCCCAGCACTTTGGGAAGCAGAGGCTGACAGATCCCTTGAGCTCAGGAGTTCAAGACCAAAAAATACAAAAATTAGCTGGGCGTAATGGCACATGCCTATAGTCCCAACTACTCAGGAGAGGTGGGAAAATTGCTTGAGGCTAGAAGTTTGAGGCTGCTGTTAGCTGAGATCACGCCACTGCACTCTAGCACGGGCGACAATGTGAAACACTGTTTAAAAAAAAGAGCAGTGCAACCATCTGCTCAATGGGCAGCTCCATGAAAGCCTCACCACACTCCTGATGGTGGGAGCTCCTAGGAGATAAGTTACATGGAAAATCCACAGTGAGACCCCAGGGACAGGGTGTGGCCTGGGCTACTGCAGCATATGCTGCCCACCCTAACACAGCCCAACACGGCCAAGAGGCTCCTGCTACTCACCTTTCTACCCTTCAGATCCTCATTTGTTAATAATTCTGGCCGTTTCTCTATGATGTTAATTTTATCTTCCAAGTGGTTAGCCTTGAATATCTTAGAAAGAAAACCATAAAATTACTGTATTCATACTAAAGTATTGTTTTTTTTGTCAGGAAAAAAAAAATCTCTCAAAGTTGCATTCTCTTGCTTTGAATTTTCTAGCGAAATCGTTCTGTAGCACCACTTTTAACTGTTTTGTGGAAATTCTCTCCTTGAGAGGCATCGTATAGACCATGGATGAGATCAGGAGCAGAATGAGATAAAAGCAAAAGAAATTTCTCCTGTGGGCACACACCAGGACTCAGTGCGGGCCTACAGTTCTGGTGAAAGGGGTTCCCCTTTGGATAGGAAATTAAACCAGTTACTGGCCAGGGATAGAAATCCCATCTCCCATCAGGGTGTGACCACTGACTCCCTGAGCACTGATGTCCCAGAAACACATTCTACATTCAGTTCTACCATGACAGAAATGTTTTCGTAGCTTTATGCGAAGTGAGGAGAAAAGCGTAAACTTCTTCAGACAAAAAAACAAAGCAAGACTGGGCGCAGTGACTCATGCCTATAATCCCAGCACTTTGGGAGGCCAAGGTGGATGGATCAACTGAGGTCAGGAGTTTCAGAGCAGCCTGGCCAACATGGTTAAATCCCATCTCTACTAAAAATGTAAAAATTAGCCAGGCATGGTGGTGCATACCTGTAATCCCAGCTACTCAGGAGGCTGAGACAGGAGAATCCCTTGAACCTGGGAGGTGGAGGTCACAGTGAGAGGAGATGGAGCCACTGCACTCCAGTCGGCAACAGAGACAGTGCAAACACTTGCCTCTGTTTCAGTGACAGCCAACCTGACAGGCCTCCGGCTGCTCTCCAGGCAGCAGCCAAGACGACACAGAGGCAGGGGCTTTCACACCATGCTGCCACCACTCCTCTGTTCCCGGGAGATGCCACTTCAAAGCCATCAACCCAGACTCAGAAGGCCAGCCCCACAGGTCCTCTTGCTATTTCAGCAACAATTCTCACTTACTTTTCTCATCAGCTTGTGAGAAGCCGCTGAGCTCTCGATTGTAAATACCTAAAGGGAACACCATGCTATTAGTTGTAAGATATTCACTTAACAAAGAAAAATTTAAAGATTAAAATCTGATAAAATCATCCCAAGGCAGAAGCAGCACCTGAACAACCCTCCCGGCGTTCATACCCCTGGGCTCATTCCCCCCAGTTCGCTCATGCCCACCCTGTGCTCATGCCCGCCCCCCGCGCTCGTCCCCCCCCGCCCCACTCATTCCTCCCCCCGACCCCACACTCATTCCCCCCTGTGCTCATTCCCCCCCCCCATCGCTCATTCCCTCTCTGGAGCAGCTCCACCACAGGAGCTCTGGCCTGATGCCACCTGCACACGCAGGTAATAAAGTCCCCAGTCCCTGACCTGAGCATGCTACACCCATAACAGTGGCCCTTACAAAGAGCCTTGATCACAGAATTGTGCACCCAGAGCACACGACACCCTAACTCATGAGCCCACCTCGGGAGGCTGACAAGGGTGCACATCAGTACCTGCTCCGCCCCGAGGTGATGGGCCAGCATGGACATCAGGCTGCCATCACTGACACACAGGCACACACTGTCTGGCTTCAGCACCTGTGGGGAATGGGCAACCTCAGCACAGGGCTTCCTCTAGTTTGTCAGAAGATTCCTGCTGGCAAGCTGTCAGAAATGCTTCCCTTCTCATCCCACTTGCCCAGATCTTGGACCAGCCCCGAGTCCCCGTGCAGTAACCAACCCCAGCCTCAAACACACCTGCCTTGCTCATGTCTCCCCACCTGTCCCCACTGTCAGAAAAGGCAGTCCTCAACCCAGCCTAGAGGCCCTGCAAAAGGTCTGTCCCACCTGCAGGAGGCCACCTCCCAGTCCCTGACAACAGGCTTCTTCCCTGTCTGGAGACAGCACAGACAGCTGAGGGCCTCCAAGGCTGCGTTCACAAGGGATGCCTTTCTGGGTGACAGACCCCTCTGAGAGAAACTCAGGATGGCTTGGATCCTCCCCCACCCCCCTCAAAAATGCACACATGCACACTTATTTCTGCACAAGGGTCTCAAGAGACCCTCCCTCTAAGTCCCATCTGTAATCTCCAGGCTGAGTCCCCTACTATAGGTAGCAGAGAGCACAGGTTTTCAGGAAGGAGAGTGACATGATCAGATTTACATTTTAGAAAATTTTAGAAAGGCGGCAACACACGGAAGAGAAGGGTGGCTGAATCCACTGTGCCCAGCTACAGCAATGACTGTGTCTAACAAGGCAAAGGTGTCCAGCAGGAGCCCAGCCAGAGGCTCTCCCCGGAGAGGAGAGAGCAAGCCCTCAGGAAGTCCAGCCCCAGGCTCTCCAGCTTTCTGCTCCAGTGCCCACCCCAGAAGGCGCTTGCTGAAGCCACTCATAGCCAAGAGGACACAGAAAAGAAAATTAGCAAATTGGAAGCAGAGTGCTGAAGCCCCTGGGACAAACTCCTTTCTCCCTTTTCCCTACAAACAGCCAAGGGGCTGGACACTTACAGTCCTCAGGGCCTGGACATATCGATCAGTTCTGTCCTGATCATTGATCTCTCCAAACCGAGGCCGGTTCCAGAGCAGGTGAGCCTGGCAGTCGCACACGGGACGCATCTCGCGGACCCTCTCATTGTTTCCAGGACTAGGTCAGGAGATGAACAAACAGACGTGGGCAGTGAGCACCTCCACAGGCCTCTAGAGGGCATGAATCTGGACACTGGTCTCCAGTAAGCATCAGAGGTTAGAGCAACCACTAATTCCAGGCTTTTCATACGCATCTGCCCTAAACAGATTCCAACCACCTCTCCTGCGTACACACGAATGGGCACTGACACATCTGGTCACAAATGTTTGTTCTTATTTTATTCTGTTCAGACACAAATCAACCCACTGGCACCTCCAGAGGGTCTGTAAATGGGAAATTTACATACACGCAGTCTCAGAGGCTCATCCTCCACCCCCACAAGGCTCAGTGTACCTGGTCCTCTGCAGGCTGTACCATATGCAGTAGTCATCATGGTGGGCTACCAGGCAGAGCGCTGAGCCCTGCACCACAGGCTCCTCTTGTGGCAGGAAGTATACACACTGCATCCAGTGGTCCCGCCACTGAAACGGGGAACAGAGTCAGCTGTCAACAAGCTGCTGTATGAGCAATGCTTCAAATCCAGGAGCCAAATGCCAGAACTACCAGTTTTCAGGAAGTCCAAAATGTAGACTGCAGCTGGCTATTGTGGGCAAGGAGATAAAGAAACAAACTCTAAAATCAGAGGCCAGTGGCCCACAAGCCTGTGGGAACCCTGCTGGCTTTAGGAAGACACAATGTAGCCAAGGGCAGTGATCTGCCACAGTGGCTCAGGGGAAGGGACAAGTGCAGGCTCCAGTCCCCACCCCATCAGAGTAGCACCAAAGCTCTCTCTTCAACACATAGGGCTGTGCAGAATGTTTCATTTGAAGACAAAATACAATGGTTTAAACCTAGTGGTTTGAAGGGAACCTTTTCAGAATAGTCCCATGGCATGCATTACAAAGACTTTAACAAACTTGGAATTTATAAAACAGTCAAATGCAATGCACTAAACCTAACTGGATCACAGACTGAGAAAACAAAAGCTATCAAGGACCTTTGGAGACAAAGAAATTTTATTTTGAACTATATGCTAGATGATAGTATGGAACCACTGTTTTTCTTAGGTGTGATCATGTGTTTCGTTTATGTTGCAGACTGTGTTCATTCTTGGGAGATAAGTGTTGAGGTATTTAAAAGTAAAGTGTCAGGCCAGGCATGGTGGCTCACACCTGTAATCCAGCACATTGGGAGGCCGAGGCAGGTGGATCACCTGAGGTCGGGAGTTCAAGACCAGCCTGACCAACATGGAGAAACCCTGTCTCTACTAAAAATACAAAAATTAGCCAGGCATGGTGGCACATGCCTGTAATCCCAGCTACTTTAGAGGTTGAGACAAGAAGATCGCTTGAACCTGGGAGGTATAGGTTGCGGTGAGCTGAGATCGTGCCATTGCACCCCAGCCTAGGCAACAAGAGCAAGATTTCACCTCAAAAAAAAAAAAGGAAAAGTGTCAGATGTCTGCAACTTACTTTAAATGATTTAGCCAAAAACCGCACACATGCAGGTGTGTTTGTAGAGACAGACATGCAGGGAGAGAGGCAGGAAGACAAACACAAAGCAGGGGTGGCAAATGTTAAAGACTGGTCAATTTAAATAAAGGGACCATCAGTGTTCATTTTCACTTCTTCTATGGATTGATAATTTTTCAAAATAAAAAGTTGGGAAAATACAAAAAGGTTTTAACTTATTCTTTGAATTAAATTGAAGTATTTAAATAACTAAATATTCTCAATTGGGAAACATGGTTGACAATGATCCAGAGTCAACTTTTTTTTTTGAGACGGAGTTTCGCTCTTGTTACCCAGGCTGGAGTGCAATGGCGCCATCTCGGCTCACCGCAACCTCCGCCTCCTGGGTTCAGGCAATTCTCCTGCCTCAGCCTCCTGAGTAGCTGGGACTACAGGTATGTGCCACCATACCCAGCTAATTTTTTTGTATTTTTAGTAGAGACGGGGTTTCACCATGTTGACCAGGATGGTCTCAATCTCTTGACCTCGTGATCCACCCACCTCAGCCTCCCAACGTGCTGGGATTACAGGCTTGAGCCACTGCGCCCGGCCCAGAGTCAACTTTTAATAAGCTGTGCTAGTCCTTACTACAAACCCCACATACAGGATTCTATCCTAAGAAAACCCAAACAAAAAAACAAAGAAAAGAGTTATATGCACAGAAAAATGCCAATCACATAATTATTTATATCAGCAAAAACTGGAACCCACCCAACTGGCCAGCACTCAGAACAGGATATAAACCCTCACGCAGAATACAGGCAGACATCTGAAACACTGCTGATGAAAGCTACGGGGACCCAAACAGAGATGAGCACTGATGACACCCGTGCGTTTGGAAAAAGACCAAAGAAACGGAGTTATTTTGGGTGGGAGGGAGGACCATGAGTGACTTTTTTGTTTTATATAATGAGGTTTATTTCTCTCACGATTGTTAAGCTTCTTTTTGAAAAAGGAAGAAATGTCCTAAAAAGTAGACGCCAGCTGGATGCAGTGGTTCACGCCTGTAATCCCAACCATTTGCGAGGCCAAGGCTGGTGAATCGCTTGAGGCCAGGAGTAAGAGACCAGCCTGGGTAACACAGCAGCAACCCCCATTCTCTACAAAAAACACAAAATTAGCCAGGCATGGTGGCACATGCCTATAGTCCCAACTACTCAGGAGGCTGAGGCAGGAGGGTCTCTGTACCCACGAGTTCACAGCTGCAGTGAGCTAAGAGGTACCACTGCACTCCAGACTGAGCAATAGAGCAAGAACTGGATTCTAACAAACAAAAACAGGAGATGCCTGGCTCAACTCTGATGAGACAACTGCCTGCTCATTCTGTCACCTTCAGGAACTAAGAAAAACTTGGCACTGTGGGACTCCAAGAGCACAGGTGCCCACCCACCTGGTCTTGAATTTAACAAAAAGGCAGGAGAACGACACTCCCACATACTCAAGATGCCTACTTGAAGTAAAAACTAGAAAATAAAAATCTGGGCCGGGCGCGGTGGCTCACGCCTGTAATACCAGCACTTTGGGAGGCTGAGGCAGGTGGATCACGAAGTCAAGAGATCGAGACCATCCTGGTCAACAAGGTGAAACCCCATCTCTACTAAAAATACAAAAATTAGCTGGGCATGGTAGTGCGCATCTGTAGTCCCAGCTACTCGGAGGCTGAGGCAGGAGAACTGCCTGAACCCAGGAGGCGGAAGTTGCGGTTAGCCGAGATCATGCCATTGCACTCCAGTCTGGGTAACAACAGCGAAACTCTGTCTCAAAAAAAAAAAGAAAAGAAAAAGAAAAAGAAAATAAAAATCTGACCAGATATGTTCTAGAAAAAATAAACAGTAACAGGAATGATAAAACAGGTTATTTTAAATCTGTTATTCATTCCCACACTGTGCAAATGTATCTGGAGTAGACCAGAGATGCTGGAGAAGCCTTTCCCGACCCCTCCTAGGCTCCCACGGCACTGCCCTATCATCACGTCCTGCACATGCTCCCACCACAGGACCTCCTGCATCGTAACGACGAAGAGCTGGTGACAGAACCCACCGTGCCATGATGGGGCAGGCGAAATATATTTTGAATCAAAGTAGTTTCACAAATTCATGAGGAAGATTCATTAGCAGATTTCAAATTTCTAATCCAAAAGTCAGTGCTGGTAGAGAAAGGACACAAGACCTACAGTCAGGAGACCTGGGGCAGGACCCACTCCACTGCTCCTGGACACAGGCCCTGCTCCAATCCCTGGAGCCTGCTGAATCCTGGGTTGGCTACGGTTGTGCTTAATCCAGTTTGTCTACTAAGAGAATTCAAGAAGAAAAATATACATAGTAGTGCTCTGAAAATATGCAAATTAAAAGCAGTTTTGCTCTTGTTGCCCAGGCTGGAGTACAATGGCACAGCCAATGGCAATCTCCTCCTGGGTACAAGTGATTCTCCTGCCTCAGCCTCCCAAGTAGCTGGGATTACAGGCACCCACCAGCATGCCTGGCTAATTTTTTGTATTTTTAGTAGAGACAGGGTTTCACTATGTTGGCTAGGCTGCTCTCGAACTCCTGACCTCCAGTGATCTACCCGCCCTGGCCTCCCAAAGTGCTAGGATTACAGGAGTGAGCCACCACACCACAAGTACTAACATTTTTAATGCTATTCTTATGCTAATTCTGCAACACAGGTTTAGGAAGAATGCAGCACAGTGCCAATCTCAACTCTGTGGGTGAATTCAGAGTGACACACGCACAGCCTGCAGAGGGAAGCTGGCACACACTGGCTAGACACACACCCACCTGGGGCCAGGCACCTGGAAGGTGGAGGGGAGACTGAGCTCAGGTGCTTAATTTCACATGCTGCTGTCATTATACTGAATGACAACAATCCCCCAGCAGTCACAACAATCCCCCTTCAGATTAAACAGTTACTCTGGGAATCGGGTAGGGAAAGCTGCTAAGGCCTTCCAGGAAGTAAATGTTATGGACACCTAGAAGCAGGTGAGCATCAAAACAAAGCCAGCAGTTGGCCGGGCGCGGTGGCTCAAGCCTGTAATCCCAGCGCTTTGGGAGGCCGAGGCGGGTGGATCACGAGGTCAAGAGATCGAGACCATCCTGGTCAACATGGTGAAACCCCGTCTCTACTAAAAAAAAATACAAAAAATTAGCTGGGCATGGTGGTGTGTGCCTGTAATCCCAGTTACTCAGGAGGCTGAGGCAGGAGAATTGCCTGAACCCAGGAGGCGGAGGTTGCAGCGAGCCGAGATCGTGCCATTGCACTCCAGCCTGGGTAACAAGAGCGAACCTCCGTCTCAAAAAAAAAAAAAAAAAAAGACTTGTGTTCCATTCACTTTGCCGGGCGCGGTGGCTCAAGCCTGTAATCTCAGCACTTTGGGAGGCCGAGGCGGGTGGATCACGAGGTCAAGAGATCGAGACCATCCTGGTCAACATGGTGAAACCCCGTCTCTACTAAAAATACAAAAAATTAGCTGGGCATGGTGGCGCATGCCTGTAATCCCAGCTACTCAGGAGGCTGAGGCTGGAGAATTGCCTGAACCCAGGAGGCGGAGGTTGCGGTGAGCTGAGATCATGCCATTGCACTCCAGCCTGGGTAACAAGAGCGAAACTCCGTCTCAAAAAAAAAAAAAAAAAAAAAAACCAAAGCCAGCAGTTAAGGCCAGGCAGGCTGGACCACTGAACAAAGGATGATGCCTAAGGCGCTCCTGAGTAGAGACAGGTTCTATTTCTTGGCTCTGAAACCAAAACTGCCTTTGCAAAAAACAGTGAGAGAATTATGACAGTGAAAGATATCTCATCTAATCAACCCCCATCTTACTTTAACGTTCAAACTGCCCTTGATCATTCCTGGGTCTGGGCCAAGCTAACTTTGGGAGACATTTGGTTAATTTATTTTTTGAGACGGAGTCTCGCTCTGCCACCCAGATTTGAGTACAGTGGCATGATCTTAGCTCACTGCAACCTCCACCTCCTGGGTTCAAGCAATTCTCCTGCCTCAGCTTCCAAGTAGGTGGCATTATAGGCATGCATCACCACACCTGGCTAATTTTTGTATTTTTAGTAGAAGCAGGGTTTCTCCATGTTGGCCAGACTGGCCTTGAACTCCTGATCTCAAATGATCCACCCACCTGGACCTCCCAAAGTGCTGGAATTATAAGCGTGAGCCACCAAGCCCAGCCAGTTAATAGTTTAAGTGAAAACTGCTCTTCCCCAAAATTAAACTTAATGAAAGATCATCAGGTTAGGAGGATGAGAGAAGGCTAAATTCTGCTAAGGTTAAGTCATTATTCTGGAGGTCACAAGATTTGCAGCCTTCCCTGATTCTACCTGCAGGTAACACCACTCTTACAGAACCTAAGACTGACCCTTTGAAATGTCTTTTTGGATTTTTACATTTCTACATTTCTGTCTGATGACTCTACATAGAAATGGACTCCTTGGCCTGCCAAACTATCCTGGAAAAACCCTAGTCTGGACCAGGCATGGTGGCTGACCCCTGTAATCCCAGCACTTTGGGAGGCCAAGGCATGAGTGTAACCTGAGGTCAGGAGTTTAAGATCAGCCTCGCCAACATGGAGAAACCCTGTCTCTACTAAAACTACAAAAATCAGCCGGGTGTGGTGACACATGTCCGTAATCCCAGCTACTCAGGAGGCTGAGGCAGGAGAATCGCTTGAATCCGGGAGGTGGAAGTTGTGGTGAGCTGAGATCATGTCATTGCACACTAGCATGGGCAACAAGAGCTAAACTCCATCTCAAAAAAAACAAAACAAAACAAAAACCCTAGTCTGTGAACTTTCAGAGAGACTGATCTGAGTAATAACTTGTCTTTCTTGCAATGCCATGGTCTCAGCAAATTGGTTTTGTCTGGACAGTGGGCAATTACCCATCAGGCAATTACGAAACACCTTTCCCACTTTCTTTTCCTTTGAGTAAGGGAGGGTGGATGGGAGTGTAAATAACACAAGCATATGAGAGAAAATTCAAAAGATATATAAGAAAGTGTACTGAGAAATAAGTTTCCTTTCCACCCCTAACCCCTAGCCCCCATTCCCGGATGCAGACAGTTTTACCAATTTCTGGGAATTCTTCCAAAGACATCCTTACATGTATACCACACAAGACTATCCACTCATGAACACATATATTCCTTTTTTTTGTTTGAGATGGAGTCTCACTCTGTCACCAGGCAGGAGTGTAGTGGTGCGACATTGGCTCACTGCAACCTCTAACTCCTGGGTTCAAGTCATTCTCCTGTCTCAGCCTCCCGAGTAGCTGGGACTACCTACAGGCACGTGCCACCACACCCAGCTAATTTTGGTGTTTTTAGTAAAGACGGGATTTCACCATGTTGGCCAGGATGGTCCCAATCTCTTGACCTCGTGATCCGCCCTCCTTGGCCTCCAAAAGTGCTGGGATTACAGGCGTGAGCCACCGTGCCCAGCTATTCCTATTTTTACTAATACCAATGCTGGCACACTACCCAGCATTCTGCACCTTTATTTTTATTTCAGGTAATAATCCACCCGGAAGCTTGTCCCACATCAGTGCAAACAGCTACTTTACCCACTCAAAGGGTAACAGACTTGATCCCTACTAGTGGCCTTTAGGTTGGCCTTTTTCTACTAAATCAGGGCTGCACGCGTTCATTCTACCCAGACTCAAATCCAGCCTCAGCCCCACGCCTGGCAGCAGCATTGCTTTCTACCTGACATTCTGACAACTCACTTTCCTGCTCTTTCCCTGAGCTTTACCAACAGTGTGCCTGCAAACTGTTTAAACTTTATTCACTAATAGGTGAAAATGATTATCTCCTTGCAATTTAAAATTGCATTTCTCTCTCTTTTTTCTTTTTAGAGACAGGGTCTAACCCTATTGCCCAGGCTGAAGTGCAGTGGTGCAATCATGACTCACTGCAGCCTCAACCTCCTGGGTTCAAGCAATTTTCCCGTCTCAGCCTCCTGAGAGGATAGGACTGCAGGTGCTATGCACAGCTAATACTGTATTTCTCTTCTCATGAGGAAGAGTGGGCAACTATCCCGTCATCTGTATTTCCTTTTCTGTCTTTCATGTCCTCTGCCTACTTTCTATCGGGGCAGAGATGGGAGATTTGAGGCCACAGAAGGTGAGACTGTAATTCTCTATTCCAAGCTGATGGGAGCTCCCTGGGATAACTCAGGGGATGAGGGGTGATATCTAAGGGTGGCTGCATCATGATGAAAGGGAGAGGAAAGCTAACTTGCCAAAGCTTCTCTGTTGTTCACTGTGTCCACAGGTGCTGACCATGAGCTCACCCTGGGAGGGCTACCTCACTATAGCTAGCCTTTGCTTGCTTTTTAAAAACTCTTCTTTGTCTTTGATTCTGACACAGCCCTCCTGTTTCTAAATTCTCCTGGGTCTAAGGTCCAACTGCTATTTTCCCATGAACAGCAGTGGACAAGTTTCCTGACCGACAGAGCACATGCTCGGCTCCTACCTCTTACCTGCATCTCCTCTGGGTCTGAGTGTGCCCAGAAGGGGGCCATGGTGCACTTGATCTTCCCCTCAGGGTCCATTTCAATGTCCCACCACGAGAGAACCACCTGAGCTCGGCCAGATGCCAGAGGTTCAAACTGCCTGCTATGGCAGGCTGCTGAGCTACTGACTTGCTTGCTGAAGTCCACACTGAGAAATAATATTCAAGAATGTAAGCAGAGTTTAATCTCACACACTCCATTTTTTTTTTTTTTTTTTGCGACGGAGTTTTGCTCGTTACCCAGGCTGGAGTGCAATGGCGCGATCTCGGCTCACCGCAACCTCCGCCTCCTGGGTTCAGGCAATTCTCCTGCCTCAGCCTCCTGACACACTCCATTTTTTAAGCTTTTACAGTGACTTCACTGGCAATGACATTTGGCTGCAAAGGACTCTTGCCTTCTGAGGCAGGTGACGGCAGCTAGGTTTTCTTCCCACTCAAAAAGAACCTCCAAAGGCCCAACTTTCATCAAATGTCTCAAAGCGTCATCACCTATGGGGGCTCCTTGGTACCTGAAAATGGGCAGCACATCACTGAGGACTGTGAATTCGGCTGGTGACACCTGGTTCAGCTGAATATCACAGACAGAGGGTGCTCCAGGGCACCTCTCCAGGTCCATGGGAGGGACGATGACCTGCTCTCCGAGGCTGGTCTGCACACGGATGGGAAACAGTTTGTTCCATGACCACATCCTCCTGGACTCCACCAGCTGTGCATAGACGGTGGCTCTGTGGGGCACAGCCTCACAGTTTTCCTAAGTTTATATTAAAAAACAAAACCAAACAAAAATCAGGTGCTTAGACCCACAGTAATTCCCAGTGATCAAAAGATGTTTATTTTTCAATATTAGGTTGGTTCAGTAATGCCCAACACCTTCTACTATTAGAAGAGTGAACTGTTTTCAGTCCTATGCCCTCAGAAAAGGGAAAAAAAAAAAAAAAAAGGAATGAGATTTCAAAAAGAATACACACTGTGCCTAACAACTTATGTCAGCTAACTTCCTGGCTACCTGGCACTCTTAAATGCTTCAATTCCTGCTGCTGGCCAGTGATCCTGACTCTGGGCTCAGTGTCCCTTCAGTGCTGCTCTTGTCTGTCACCAGAACAAGAGCCTCCCTGTGGCAAAGCCCCATGGACCACAGTGCCCCCTCAGCTGCCCAGCCCTCTGGCACCACTGAGCACCGCTGCACACTCAGCCCCCACACCTGCAGCTCTGGCTCCTTGTCCAGCTTTCCTCCTACCTTGTGCATTTGCTACATGTCCTCCATGTGCCAGGCACTAGGGACCCAGCAGTGAAGAGCACACGCACAGCTGTGACCTACATGGCTTTCGGCACCACTGGCCTCTTGGGCCAAATGTTTCTCTGTGGTGGAGGTTGCTCCAGGCATGGTAAAAGGTTAGTAGCATCCCTGGCCTCCCCACGAAGTGTCTCCCAGCCTTGCTCTGGTAGAAAAGCACCGCTCTAACTGGACTCGCTCCCACCTCCTTGACCAGGCTGTGCTTCCTATGCCCCGCCTCACAAGGGGGCTCCCTGGTCTGGACCACCTTTCTTCTCCCTCCACATTCTCCAGAGTGACCTCAACCATGCCCTCTTCATTGACTAAACCCAAGCACCTCTGGGCCTCTTGGGCCTCTCTACTTGGCTGATCTTCAGAGAGCTCAAACTCCATGTCTAAACTAGATGAATCACCCTCACCGCTCCTCAACCTTCCCAGGGATGCCTCTCCTCCTGCACTCCCAGTCCACAGGAAGCACCACCATCCAATCTGGGTGCCCAAACCCCGGCATCACCCTCGATACCTCTACACTTAAGGGACCACCAACTCCTGGGACCACCTCTCAGGCCCATGTCTAAAGCCTTGGCTGAGGTCCGCTGCACCTCAGCATCTGGACAACTCCACAACCTTTTAACCCACTCACAGCCTCCAGTCCTACATCCCAAATGCCCTCCACATGCCTGCCTGCATAAATCTGCCATCAATCCTCTGCTTCAAACCCTGCGGTGATGCCACCCCACCTAAATGACAGCTACCCACTGGGCATAGCCCCCAGGCCCCCCTCTATCTAGTCCCTGCCCAACTCTCTAGCCTTAGTGGCTAAGCCCACCTCTCCTGCCTCCAACACAGCACAAAATCCAAAGCACCCGCAGGCTCCAGAGCCACTGCACCAATTCAGTTTCATGTCTAGCACATGCTGCTCTCCTCTACCAGAAATATTCCAACTGGCAGGCCAACACCTGATCACTTTTCAAGACTGACAGCTCAAGCATCACCTTCCTGAGAATATTTGCTGAACTGAACTAAATTTGAAAACAGTTTCTTGCTTTTCAACTCTAACCTATTAAGACTTGGCATTTAAGGGACATGAAAGTCACAAGTGAGGAGAACCAGAGCCCCCCAGGAATGGAGGGGTGTGCCAGGTACATGACAGGTGCTGAGGGCTTGGGCTGTGTGAAGTATGGTGCATGAGTGAGTGCTGTGTGAGCTGGCTGAGAGCACAGACACGCCCAAGGGAGCCCTCCGTGCACTACCTCCACGAGATGCCTGTGTGCGTGCTCATAGGAGGGCAGCGCTCCCTCCCCTATCAGCTCTGTGTCAAATAACTCTGTGACCAGGATGTTGGCACGGCATGGCATGTCACCCTCTGAAAAACATAAGAAAACAGAGTTAGACGTAAGCAACAGACTAGGAAAAATATTTACAGCAAATATAGGAAAGGTAAGTTGTTAAGAGGCCATCACACTAAAAGCACATACACATGCTGAGGTATTCAGAAGTGTCAGGATGTCTGTGACTGACTTGCCAATGGTTCAGGAGAAAAAAAATCCATATGTAAACGTATGCCAAAACGCTAACTGCTAAATCTAGAGTAAGGGAATAAGAGTGTTTACTGTACCACTCTTTCAACTTTTCCATATGTTTAATATTGGGAAGGAGACCAGGAAAAAATGATAAGAAAACTATAAATACCTAATGGATTGCTTGAGCTCGAGAGTTCGAGATCAGCCTGAGCAACGCTGACAAAACCCCGTTTCTACAAAAAATACAAAAATCAGCTAGGTGTGGTGGCTCATTCCTATAATCCCAGCATTTTAGGAGGTGAAGGCGGGAGGATCACTTGAGGCCAGGAGTTCAAGAGCAGCCTGGCCATCATGGCCAAACCCCATCTCTACCAAAAATACAAAAATTAGACAGGTGTGATGGTACACACCTGTAATCCCAGCTACCCAAGAGGCTGAGGAATGAGAAACACTTGAACCTGGGAGGCAGAGGTGCAGTGAGCCAAGACTACACCATTATACTCCAGCCTGGGTGACACAGTGAGACTCTCGTCTCAAAAAAAAAAAAAAAAAAAAATTAGCCAGGCATGGAGGTATGCACTTGTAGTCCCAGCTACTTGGGAGGCTGAGGTGGGAGGATCACTTGTGCCTGAAAGATCAAGGCTGCAGTGAGCCAAGATCGTGCCACTGCACTCCAGTGTGGGCAACAGAGTGAGTAGTACACACCTGTAATCAAAACAAAAAACTATACACACCCAAAAAGAAATCAGGTAAAAATATAAACACACAATTCAAAACAGAAAGCAAACATGGAAATCTTTTCATCTGTATTAGCAATTAGAGAGATATAAATAAACAATTAAACTATTAACCACTAAATTAGAAAAATTTGAAAACCAAAAACCAAATGCTGGTACTTCAAATACTTCTAGGTTGCAGGGAGAGGGAGGGAAAGCCAAAACAAGAGAGCAAGGCTCTCTGGTGATCTTCCAGTTACCGTGAGCTCTGCTTGAGCAGCCAAAATTGAGATCCATGACTTAGAATCCCCGTATCACTACGGTAAATCCCCTTAATGAAGTTAGCTCTTGTCACCAAATAATCCCTTAAATAATAGTTGTTTTAGGAGAGTGGGATTTTAGGAGAGAGTAGGATTTGAAAGGGGTCTTCTGTTAACTGTTTTTTTAAGCCTCAGTAATGTACTGCTATGCCTACAATAATTTTTTAATGAGACAAGAGCCAAAATAGATTTTGGAAGGGGCTATTCATCATGGAGAATTAACTGTAAACACTTTTAATGCCTCATGAATTGAATCTGACAAAGCCCACTCATCTCCCCTGCACAAAGCACAAGTCTCAGATGATGCAAGAAAAAGAGAAGCATGAAAGCAGCTGACAGGGGCCAGGCATAGTGGCTAACGCCTGTAATCCCAGCACTTTGGGAGGCTGCGACAGATGGATCACCCGAGGTCAGGAGTTCGGGATCAGCCTCGCCAACATGGTGAAACCCCATCTCTACTAAAAATACAAAAATTAGCCAGGTGTGGTGACAGGTGCCTGTAATCACCAGCTACTCAGGAGGCAGAGAAAGGAGAATCACTTGAATCTGGGAGGTGGAGGTTGCAATGAGCCAAGATCTTGCCACTGCACTCCATTCTGGGCCACAGGACAAGATTCTGTCTCAAAAAAAAAAAAAAAAAAAGCAGCACCGGGCGCGGTGGCTCAAGCCTGTAATCCCAGCACTTTGGGAGGCCGAGGCGGGTGGATCACGAGGTCGAGAGATCAAGACCATCGTGGTCAACATGGTGAAACCCCGTCTCTGCAAAAAATTAGCTGGGCATGGTGGCACGTGCCTGTAATCCCAGCTACTCAGGAGGCTGAGGCAGGAGAATTGCCTGAGCCCAGGAGGCGGAGGTTGCGGTGAGCCGAGATCGCGCCATTGCACTCCAGCCTGGGTAACAAGAGCGAAACTCCGTCTCAAAAAAAAAAAAAAAAAAAAAAAAAGCTTTTGACAAAAGGGTACAACAGAGACGGCATGATCCTCAAGGCCAGAGCCTGGCCTGGATCTCACTTCCTATCCCTGAGCCCTCAGTTCTAACCATCAGTTGCCTCATCAGTAAAACAGGTAAATAAGCTGTGTCTCACTTGTTGGTGGCTGGAATGATGGAGGAAAAAAAAAAAGCAAGCACACCTCCTATGAACCTCACCTGTGCTCCACAAGAGCATCACGTGGAGGAGCTTAAGAAGAAACTCCTATCTTCTGCCACAGAGACCACCCTCCCGAGTGGCCCTGCTCATCCAACCTCTCTGATGTCATGTCAAACTCCAACTGGAATACACTGGCTGAGACTTATCCCACCCACCTCACCCCACACCCCTGCTCTTCCCTCCAGGGTTTCTGCCTCAATGAACACACAGTCACATGGTGCAGGAACCTGGGCGTCATTTACTAGCTCCAGACAACAGGGCCGTGACTGCCTGTCCACTACTGTACCCCAGTGCCCCAACAAGGTGTCCCTTAACAGTCAACACGCACTAGATAAATTCTTGATTTCTGTCATCCTACAAGCCACTGATCACTTCCTCTACCAATTCTACCTCCTAAATAATGTTTAAACCAATTATATAACTTAAAATGATTTCTAAATTGCTTCATTAAAATAAAAATCAAGAGCCAGTGACTCATACCTATAATTCCAGCACTTTGAGAGGCCAAGGTGGGCGGACCACTTGAGGCCAGGAGTTCCATACCAGCCTGGCCAACGTGGCGAAATCCCATCTCTACTAAAGATAAAAACATTAGTTGGGTGCAGTGGCACGTGCCTGTAGTCCCAGCTACTGAGGAGGCCCAGGCATGAAAATCACATGAACCCGGGAGGGAGAGGTTGTGGTGAACTGAGACTGCCCCACTACACTCCATCTTGAGTGATACAGGGAGACTCTGTCTCAAAACACAATGAAAATAAAATAAACACAAATCAAGCTTTATGGTCCAGTGCATTTTAACAAGTACTTCTTGAAGGCCTGGTATTTTGAGTGTGAGTGCTAATGTATAAGGGCTTGGGTGGGAGAGTCTGAAGTCGGTAGCCACCCCAGGTGCTTCCTAAGTCCTTGCCATGGACTTAGAACATGGATGATGAACGCATGCTACTCCCTAGCTTGATTCTCCACAAGCCGCAGCATGTAATCCAGCTCTGGGGAACAGGCAACCAACTTCAGATGCAACTTTTAAAAAGCGCTGAGAACAAAACCTTGGAAAGCACACATTTGGAGCAGAAAGAAAGCAACACGGGAGAACCAAGATTGAGAGATGTCACTAAAGTCCAGGGAGAGAGTTTTAAGGAGGAAGGAATGGCAGAAGTACCAAAGCCACAGTGGTTAGAGAACAAAGATAACCTAACTTGGCAATGAGGAAGCCACTTGTCAGGCTGCAAGATCGGAAACAAAGTCACATTTACAAGGGATCATGGATGAAGCAAGACTTGACAATCTACTCACTTAACAAAAATTACTGAACTCCTTTACATAGCAGGCCCTGCGCAAATAACGGAATGGAACAGTTAATACAACCCACACGATGCAAGACCTCAGGATGCTTCAGCTGGGTGGAGACACAGATGTTAAAAAATAACTACATAACGATTTAATGATTGCAGTGATAAGGTCTATGAAGCAAAAGTATTAAGCAATCAGCCATGGTTGGGAATGGTGGCTGGTGCCTACAATCCCAGCTTTTTGGGAGGCCAAGACAGGTGGATCACCTAAGGTCAGGAGTTCAAGACCAGCCTGACCAACATGGAGAAACCCCGTCTCTACTAAAAATATAAAAAAGTTAGCCAGGTGCAGTACAGGAAGTCGAGGCTACAGTGAGCTGTGTTCGCAGCGCTGCACTCCAGCCTAGGTAATAGTGTTACTCAAGTCCCTTCTTTTGGGAAATTAGCATATGTACATGTTTTTGTGGATACTTTTTCACACTTTGTCTGGGGTACATGCCAGACTGGTGAATCATCCACTTGTGTCAAAAGACATCTTATATAATGTTTTGCTCTTACGGGTATTCCGTCCTCCATAAAAACTGATAATGCCCCAGAATATATTAGTCAATCTTTAACAGAATTTTTTACTCAATACAATACATGTAACAGGTGTTCCACATAACTCTCAAGGTCAGGCCATTGTAGAGCAAATAAATGTTTCCCTCCAGCAGCAGCTACAGAAACAAAAAGGAGGGGACAAGAAATATCAAAACCCACAAATGCAGTTAAACCTGGCATTGCTAGCTTTGAATTTTTTGAGCTTACCAAGGGGACAGCAATTAACAGCAGCTGAACAACATTTGATAAAGCAACCCAGGGACGAGAAGTTAGGGCGATTGATCTGGTGGCAGGATCCACTCACAAAAAATTGGTAAACAGGTAATGTAATAACCTGGGGGAGAGGATTTGCTTGTATTTCTGCAGGTACAAATTAACAACCAATGTGGGTACCATCCAGACATTTAAAGCCATACTATGAGCCAGATACCAAAAAAGAGACAGAGGGCCGGGTGCAGTGGCTCAAGCCTGTAATCCCAGCACTTTGGGAGGCCGAGGCGGGTGGATCACAAGGTCAAGAGATCGAGACCATCCTGGTCAACATGGTGAAACCCCGTCTCTACTAAAAATACAAAAAATTAGCTGGGCATGGTGACGCTTGCCTGTAATCCCAGCTACTCAGGAGGCTGAGGCAGGAGAATTGCCTGAACCCAGGAGGCGGAGGTTGCGGTGAGCCGAGATCACGCCACTGCACTCCAGCCTGGGTAACAAGAGTGAAACTCTGCCTCAAAAAAAAAAAAAAAAAAAAAAAGAGAGACAGAGGACACCCCAGTCACAGAGATGGCGAGACTAACATCAAGATGGAGTACCGTTCCCACAAGGAAAGTCCGCCAAACATCACCACCAACTTGGGGTCAAATTAAGGAAAGCTTTTACAGAGAGTAGAGGAAAACCTGAAGAAAGCAGGACAGCCTGTTAATGTAATTATGACAGTTATCACGATTAAAGTGAGTATTTCTGGAGTTGGGATAGAAGTAAAGAAAGTTTCAGACATTGGACATCTATTCTTTCCTTCCTTTACTGATCTCTGGCCTTAGTATTTTCTGTAATAATTTGGGAAATAAAATAACAATGTTTCGACCATTAAAATCTGAACGTAGATAAAGTAAGGAATGGTTCCCTAAGTTAAAAACATTAATCTGGAGATATTGTGTTGTGACAGAGGCTGAGGTGCTGCGTAACAATTCCTATGAAATTATTGATTATTGGTCCCCTAAGGGGATACTTAGCACTGACTGCACCTGTCAGTCCTCTTGTAGTAACACAGAATTCAGATGGCAAATAAAGAACTACAATTATTTAGAATGTATACATACTGAGATCAACAACTCTATTGTCTGGAGGATGGGGGATTAATAGACCCACAACCAAAAATAGTATGGACAATGATAAGAGCTGAATAAAAAGAACTCTGAATAAAACCTATGGCCCTAAAACCAACAAAAGTCTGGGAAGGAAAATAGAGAATCTAATTCTTATTAATTAGAAGTTTATAAGAAATAAAAGCTCTTTAGATTCAGAGCTGTGTTAAACCCCTCCTATCTTGTGATGATGAGAGAGTTACAAATTGACTTTATTAACTTTAAAGGTATAATAAGACTGAACATGATTGGGAAAGAATAAAATATCACCTGGAAAGGCCTTAGACAGCAATTAAGGAGGAGGGACCCAGAAGAACCTCAAAGCCCCTTTTTAGCAGGAAGCAGTTACAGAAGAATGACCTCCGCCCTCTTTCCCAAAAAGATTTCTGGGTCCCAACTCCTTAAGGAAAACATGTAAGAGTAGACAGGCTCCGAGGTGCTTGAGGGAGGTGCTGGTGGACTGACAGCCCTAAATTTGGATGAAAGCACTTGGAGGATCTATGATTGCTGTTGTGATTATGTTATTAATCTGTTTTCTTTCTCTTTGTGTAGTTTGCAGGTGAGGATCCACAATCCTCTAAGAAATGGTTCACCAAGATAGAGCTGTACTTGCTGACCTAGCTTTGTTGAAACAAAAAAAGGGGAAGATGTGGAGAAACATTAAGTCTACCCTGCCCCCGTGGCTCCCTTGTGGAGAATACCTTTTAGTTTGTAATTACTGGTAAGCTGGTAACAGCTACTTACTTGGAATATTTTTGAGTTATGAGTGAATACAGAACACCTGTTTATTAATAATGGTCACTTGTTAAGAGAGAGTAAATATGTGGATCAGAATCTGCTTGGGGCCTTCAGCCTGGAAAGCTGTCAGCCCCTGAGACTCTCAGCTCGGTAGGCTGCTGGTCCCCTGGATAGACCCACTTTGGTGTTCTATCTGGGTGTCTGCCTGTCACTGCCTTCAGCATTGCCCGGGTAGAGGTCTCCCGATTGAGCTGGTACTCAGTACAATAGAGTGAGACTGTCTCAAAAACATATAAATAGACTGGGCGCGGTGGCTCAAGCCTGTAATCCAAGCACTTTGGGAGGCCGAGGCGGGTGGATCACGAGGTCAAGAGATCGAGACCATCCTGGTCAACATGGTGAAACCCCGTCTCTACTAAAAATACAAAAAATTAGCTGGGCATGGTGGCGCGTGCCTGTAATCCCAGCTACTCAGGAGGCTGAGGCAGGAGAATTGCCTGAACCCAGGAGGCGGAGGTTGCGGTGAGCCGAGATCGCGCCATTGCACTCCAGCCTGGGTAACAAGAGTGAAACCCCATCTCAAAAAAAAAAAAACAAAAACAAAAAACAAAAAACAAAAACAAAAACAAAAAAAAAAACCATATAAATAATTTCCACTCTGGCCATAGTGGAGTAAACAGGATCAGACTTACCCTCCTGCTGTTATCAACTAGAAAACTGCTTAACATGTACGAAAAAGGTATTTTCAGATGTTGAGCAAGAGGCAACACAATCTGCTCCCTAAGAAGGGAAACAAACCAAGTGACACTTACCCTGCTCTGGCTGTCAGCCAGGTCAGCTAGGAGACCCTTTCCAGACCACAGCACAGGGTAAGAGGTTATGCAGAACATGGCAGTCTTGCGGAGTTAAACAGACAGGAAACGAGTTCGGGGAAGGGGAAGCAGCTGGAACTTGCCAGGCAGAGAATCAGAGAGGAAGTTACAAAGAAAAAAGCCTTCAGAATGCTGCACAGCATTCCTATAGAGTCTGTGTTAATACATTCACATACACAGAGCATAAGACTCTGTAATGCCGAGCAAAGGGTGACCATGAGCTATAACAATCTCCAGAGCTCTTGGAGACCTGGGAAACGTTCTGATCAGCCAGACGAGAGGATCACTGCTGAGCACCTAGAGCTCTGAGCAGAGACCTCAGAAAGGTCACAGTAATTGCCTGGCTAAATAGCCTTAGAGCAGTGGTTCTCAATAGGTGGCAATTTTACACACCCAAGCCCAAGGATGATGTGGCTGTCTGGAGACATTTTTGGTTGGCAAGAATAATGGCAGGGAAGGGAGTACTACTGACATCCACTGGGAGGAGGCGAGGGACGCTGCTAAACATCCTACAATGCAAAGGACAGCATCCACAACAAAGAATTATCAAAATGTCACACAGCCAGAGAATGCCAAAATGTCACAGCATTACTGTTGAGAAGCCCTGACTTAAAGCTACTCTAACCCTGCCCCAAAGAAAGCTTAAACAAGCCCTGAAAGGATCAATCTGAACTGCAAGTAACCCAATTGCATGTCAATGTTTAAAAAGCAAAAACCACAAAGTCTAGTACTCAACAATAGGGAATTTCCAATAGCCACAGCATCTAAAGAAAAATTATTAGACATGTGAAGAAGGAAAACGTGACCAGAACAAGTATAAAAATGAGTCAAGAGAACAAACCCAGAAAAGACAAAAGATGGTGGGAACAGAAAATAAGCATGTTAAAAAAGCTAAAATAAATGCTTACAGGAAACTATGAACATAAGAAAAACAGAAGTTATGAAAAAGAATCAAGTGGAACTTTCAGAGGTTAAAAATATATATATAATATCAAAAATGAGGCCAGGCACAGCAGCTCACGCCTGTAATCCCAGGACTTTGGGAGGCTGAAGTGGGAGGATCACTTAAGCCCAGGAGTTTGAGACCAGCTTAGGCAACAAACTGAAACCCCATGTCTACAAATTTTTTTAAGTTAGCCAGGCATGGTGGCATAAGCCTGTGGTGCCAGCTACACAAGAGGCTGAAGCAGGAGGACTGCTTGAGCCCAGGAGGTCTAGGCTGCAATGAGCCATGCTCACATCATCACACTCCAGCCTGGGTGACAGGTCAAGACACTGTCTCAAAAAAAAAAAAAAAAAGAGGGAGTGAAATGAAAAGTTTACTAGGTAACACCGTATTAGACACTGCAAAAGAAAAGATCACTGAATCTAAAGACCTATCCAAGAAATCTCTGTCCATCAACAGGTAGAGGTATAAACAAGTTACGTTTCATCTATTCAGTCGAGTGCCGCACAGTAACACAAAAGAGCCCAACCCCAAGACAAGAATATGCAGAGGCGTCTTACCAGCATCACGCTGTATAAAAGATAGCACACACAGAAGAGTCCACGTTGCTATGATTCCACTTCCTTGAAATCCTACAGAGGCAAATCTAATCTATAATGAAGAAAGCTATCAGTGGGTGCCTAGGACCAGGATATGGGGGGCACTGACTAGAAAGGGTCATGAAGAATCTCTTTGGGCATGATAGAGATGTTCTATTATCTTGATTATGATGGTGGTGGTTACAAGTGTGTTTACAGTTGTCAAAACTCATCAAATTAATGAAAATGGATATTCATTTAATGTAAACCACACTTCAATAATGTTGATTATAAGTGAAATGATTGTGCATTTCTTTTTGTATGTTTTAAAAATAAAAAAGGCCAGGCATGGTGGCTCATACCTGTAATCCCAGCACCTTTGGAGGCTGAGGCAGGCGGCTCACCTGAGATCAGGAGTTCAAGACCAGCCTATCCAACATGGTGAAACCATCTCCACTAAAAATACAAAAATTAGCCAGGCATGGTGGCACGTGCCTGTAATCCCAGCTACTTGGAAGGCTGAGGCAAGAGAATCACTTGAACCCGGGAGGTGGAGGGAGCAGTGAGCCGAGATTGCATTAAGCAATGCAGCCTGGGTGACACAGCAAGATTCTGTATCAAAAAAAAGAAAATATATACATATGCGTGCGTGTGCGCGTGCGTGCGTGCATGCGTGCGTGCGTGTATTTTCTGGAAACCTTAAGAGACAGTACTATACAGGAAAATCGTTCATGTTGTATGCAGAGGCAGAATGTCAGAACTAAATACTCTGCCTGATGGAACTCATTTTGTGCAGTGGCAGTACCATAGCCAATGAGGTTTATCTGAGGCGCAATTATTGCTAATTGAAACTCAGAGTTGAGCCCCATAAGATTTCCAACTTGCTTTGGCTGAATTCCTTCACTTCAGAAGAAAAAGAAAGAAGAAGAAAAAAGAATTCCAACTTGCTGAAAGCAAAAGCAGGCTTTGTTTGCATCTCCACCGCTGGACCTGCCTAGCTCTAGTCTACTCCTTACTGACTAGTTTCAACTAGCAGGAAAATAAACATCAAGGGAAGCCAAGTCCTTATCATCAGAGCTCCACACGGAGAGTCCCCATTTCTCTGCTATGACCTGGATTTGTTCCAGGTAACTGGAATAACCCTTTACCTCTCTCACACAAGGGCAAGCAAAGCTTTCAATGCAGGATGTGTACATCTCACCTGGACCTACAGTCACCTCGGTGGAATGCTTGTTGATAACCTTAATCTTATCACTAAAGCCATTTTCCTCCACAATCTTCACAGCAGCATCAGCCATAGGCTTGAAAACCTAGAAAACAGAGCCAAAACCCAAGGAAAAATGAGCAATAAACTAAACAGTAGTCTGACCTTTAAGGTGAACAAGTTATTCCTTGATTCTGGTCCTAAAACATGTAACTTAAAAACTTTATTCTCCAAATGTGCATCATGAAAAAGGGCTGTGAAATTCAGTTGGGTCTAACTTGTGGTTAGGGACTCCCATTCCATGCCAGGCATGGCAGGGAAGCCGGGGATGCTGAGGCGGCCGCACTACTTAGTAAGAGCAGTAGGTGTCAGTGCCACACAAGGGGACGCCAAAGAGCCAGGAAAGGAAGTTGCCCCATGAACCTGGGAGGCGTGTTGTGCCCTCCAGAGGAGAGCAAGACAGTTATGCGCCAGGCGTAGGTGTGAGCGAGCAGGTCATCCTCTGGGCTCAAAACTGTTCCAAATCCCCACCGTTGGCAGAACACAGCCTACATTTTCTTATGATACAGTAGTACCTTTTGTCCGTGGGGGATACATTTTTTTCTTTTTTGAGATGGAGTCTCACTCTGTCACCCAGGCTGGAGTGCAGTGGCACAATCTGGGCTCACTGCAACTTCCACCTCCCAGGTTCAAGCGATTTTCCTGCCTCATCCTCCCGAGTAGCTGGAACTACAGGCGTGTGCCACCATGCCCAGCTAATTTTTTTGTATTTTTAGTAGAAACTGGGTTTCACCATGTTAGCCAGGATGGTCTCGATCTCCTGACCTCATGATTACCAACGCCAGCCTCCCAAAGTGCTGGAATTACAGGCGTGAGTCACCATGTCCAACCAGTGGGGGACACATTTTAAGACTCCTGCCCGGGGCAGTGGCTCACACTAGTAATCCCAGCACTTTGGGAGGCCGAGACCGACAGATCACGAGGTCAAGAGATTGAGACCATCAAGCCAACATGGTAAAACCCTGTCTCTACTAAAAATACAAAAATTATCTGGGCATGGTGGCGCCACCTGTAGTCCCAGCTGCTTGGGAGGCTGAGGCAGGAGAATCGCTTGAACCCAGGAGGCAGAGGTTGCAGTGAGCCAAGACTGCGCCACTGCACTCCAGCCTGGTGACAGAACGAGACTCCATCTCCAAAAAAAAAAAGACTCTTGGTGGATGCTTGAAACTCAGATAATACCTACCGACCCCTATATATACCATTTTCTTTGCTACAAATATATACTGTTCTATGGTGGGCACCTCTATGCAAACCTACCCCAAGAGGCCACAGGAGCTCAGAGGCTGAGGAAAGAGACTGGCAAATCCAGCTTCTTACAAAGACACATTTTATAGGGACTTACAAACAGAAGCTTTGTCTCAAGCAGTGAGACACTGGGCCCCTACACTGTTATGGATCAGATGCAAGGCTTACATCCCAAGGGAATTTAACTAAGGGCAGGATTTCTGGTAAGAATGTATTTATGATAACATTAAAGTTGTTCTGACCTGAGGGCAGGATTTACATCAAAGTGCATGACAGCAGAAATTTAGAGACACTCCTGAAGCTGGGGTTGGTGAGAAGTCGGCATGGAGGATTAGCATTCACAGTGGAGCTGATTTAGCCTCCAAGCTTACCTATGACCAGGTTTAATTTATAAAGCAGGCCCAGTGAGAGATTAACAATAATAATTAAAAATAGAACAGTGATGTAATAATACTCAGAATGGCACACAATTTACAACTTATAATTTCTGGAATTTTTCTTTTTTTTTTTTTTTGAGAAGGGTCTCACTGTTGTCCAGGCTGGAGTGCAGTGGTGTGACCTCAGCTCACTATAACCTCTGCCTCCCGGGTTCAAGCGATTCTCCTGCCTCAGCCTCCTGAGTAGCTGGGATTACAGGTGCATACCACCATGCCCAGCTAATTTTTTTTTGTATTTTTAGTAGACACAGGGTTTCACCATGTTGGCCAGGCTGGTCTTGAACTCCTGACCTCATGATCCACCAGTCTCCACCTCTCAAAGTGCTAGGATCATAGGCATGAGCCACGGCACCTTACCTGTTTTGATTTTTTTTTTGAGATAAAGTCTTACTCTGTCACCCTGGCTGGAGTGTGGGGGCATGTGTTTAAATACTTTCCCCTATAAAACTGAGTTCATATAGTGATTAGTTGGAAAAACAAAGTCCCAAAATAACTGGCTTAAACAAGGCAGAAGTAATTTTTTGCTTTCTCATATAAAGTCCAAATCATGGCTCACTGCAGCCCTGACCTTCCAGGCTCAAGAGATTGTCCCACCTCAGCATCAAGAACACCTGGAACACAGGCACATGCCACCATGCCCAGCTAATATTTAAAAGTTTTTCTGTGAAGATGGGATCTTACTATGTTGCCCAGGCTGGTCTCAAACTCCTGGGCTCAAACATTTCTCTTTCCTCGCCTCCCAAAGTGCTAGGATTACAGGTGTGAGCACTGCACCCAGCCTCTAGGTATTTTCTAAAGCTCCTAGTGATTCTGATGTGCAGCTCAGGCTGACAGAGGAAAAAACTAGCTCCTGGAGGAAGGAACTGTGTCTGACTCATCTCTACATGCTCAGAGCCTGGCTCTGTGCTTGGCACATAGTGAGCACTCCACGAATGTTTGTGAAGGAACAGATGGGGAAAGTGCAAGAGCATAGGTGATTTCCCATGCAAGATGCAGGACACACACCTGAAGGGGGTGGCTTACCTCGATAGCATAGCAGAAGTCGGCGCCTGCTGTGACTGCCATCATTGACAAGAGTCCTGTGCCAGTGCCAATGTCAAGAACCAAGGCCTTCTGTCCTCTGTCCTTCACCCTGCTCACGGCAGCCCGGATACCTTGGTAGTACTTTACATTCTAAGAAGAAAGGGAGAAATGGCCGTCACTTACTACCAGTTATTCTAAGTAGAAAGGTGCTCTGTAAAGTTCTAGAGCAGGCATCCCCAAACTTTTTACACAGGAGGCCAGTTCACCGTCCCTCAGACCGTTGGAGGGCCGCCCCATACTGTGCTCCTCTCACTGACCACCAATGAAAGAGGTGCCCCTTCCTGAAGTGCGGCGGGGGGCCGGATAAATGGTCTTAAGGGGCTGCATGTGGCCCACGGGCCGTAGTTTGGGGACGCCTGTTCTAGAGTCACAGCTGGCAGCAGCAGTGCAAGTCAGAATCCTATGGCCTTTCTGGCCCCTGGCAGAACAGCACTGGCTGAGTTAGGCAGGCCTTGTGAGTCAGCCCTTTGCCTGTTATTAAGTGACTGTCCCTGCTCTACACTCTACTAAAAGTGATGCCAGCACCCTACAAACCATGTTCTCCTTTTTCCAGCTGTTAGGTACAGCCAATAGGGGGACCAATAGGGCAACTGCAAGGTAGGAGGACAGAGAAGGCTTCCTCTTTTCTGTAAGCTGCTGCTCTCATCAGGGTCCTCTCAGTAGGGGCAGTTGATTGCAGACTCCAGCTTCTCCCAGTGATCCTATAACCAGCTCCTTGGACAGTCCCACAGAGCTGCAGCTGCACAGGACCTCTCCTCAATGCTTATAGCTTCTGGAAACCCTAATCTTCTTGTTTAGTTTCTCAGCCCTAGGCAAGGTAACTGCTCCCTGCAATCTCTACCGCTAGGTTAAAGGGTTTTCCCATTTGCTTTCTAGCCCTCCCACAGCTGGGCGACCAGCGCCCTGTGTTAAAGCCCCTCTGCTGCGGTATGTAATGTGGCTTCGGTTTTCCTTTACCGACTCTAACCCAGAGAGCTTCCTTGTCTAAAAAGTATTTTCCCCTTCAGGAAATAACTTATTTGCCTCTTGAAGACTTTTAGTTCTGGTCTTTAGTAATGTAAACAGATACATCTTTCACCAGTCTGACTCAATAGACACAATGACCCTTCTGCTGAAAATAGCTAAAAATGATGGAAAAAATATGTGCAAATCTTTTAAATAGACTGATGACCTGCCAAATTAGTAAGAAATATTAACAGGTTATTAAAATTTAAGATATTTTGTTAAGTAACATTAGACAACTAATAAATAATTGGTTATCAAAAGGGCAATGTTGTTCTCTTACCAAAATGCAGAACAAGTTAGAAATCTTTTTTTTTTTTTTTTTTTTTGAGACGGAGTTTCGCTCTTTATACCCAGGCTGGAGTGCAATGGCGCGATCTCGGCTCACCGCAACCTCTGCCTCCTGGGCTCAGGCAATTCTCCTGCCTCAGCCTCCTAAGTAGCTGGGATTACGGGCGCGTGCCACCGCGCCCAGCTAGTTTTTTGTCTTTTTTCTTAGTAGAGACGGGGTTTCGCTATGTTGACCAGGATGGTCTCGATCTCTCGACCTCGTGATCCACCCGCCTCGGCCTCCCAAAGTGCTGGGATTACAGGCTTGAGCCACCGCGCCCGGCCTAAGTTAGAAATCTTAATAACAGAAATACAACTAAAGAAAAAAAATGTTTTGAACATTGAGAAGTATACTTCTTTTTTTTTTTTTTTTTTTTTTTTTTTTTTTTTTTGAGACGGAGTTTCGCCCTTGTTACCCAGGCTGGAGTGCAATGGCGCGATCTCGGCTCACCGCAACCTCCGCCTCCTGGGGTCAGGCAATTCTCCTGCCTCAGCCTCCTGAGTAGCTGGGATTACAGGCACGCACCACCATGCCCAGCTAATTTTTTGTATTTTTGGTAGAGACGGGGTTTCACCATGTTGACCAGGATGGTCTCGATCTCTCAACCTCGTGATCCACCCGCCTCGGCCTCCCAAAGTGCTGGGATTACAGGCTTGAGCCACCGCGCCCGGCAGAAGTATACTTCTAAACTCACTTAGGCAAAAGACTAAACTAGATTGGAATTAGAAAATATCTAGAACTGAATATTCTTTGAAATTACCTGGCCGGGTGCAGTGACTCACGCCTGTAATTCCAGCACTTTGGGAGGCCGAGGCGGGTGGATTTCCCAAGGCCAGGAGTTTGAGACCAGCCTGGCTAACACGGTGAAACCCCCGTCTCTACTAAAAATACAAAAACTTAGCCGGGCGTAGTGGTGCACACCTATAATCCCAGCTGCTCAGGAGGCGGAGACAGGAGAACAATTTTTTTAAGATAAAAGAAAATGATAAGCAGCATCCTCAATTGTAAACCAGGGATGGCACAGCCTTCACTTTAAGGATGCCATTAACGCCAGCCGCGGTGGCTCAAGCCTGTAATCCCAGCACTTTGGGAGGCCGAGGCGGGTGGATCACGAGGTCGAGAGATCGAGACCATCCTGGTCAACGCGGTGAAACCCCGTCTCTACTAAAAATACAAAAAACTAGCTGGGCGTGGTGGCGCGTGCCTGTAATCCCAGCTACTCAGGAGGCTGAGGCAGGAGAATTGCCTGAACCCAGGAGGCGGAGGTTGCGGTGAGCCGAGATTGCGCCATTGCACTCCAGCCTGGGTAACAAGAGTGAAAACTCCGTCTCAAAAAAAAAAAAAAAAAAAAAAAGGATGCCATTAAATTAGCTGTCACTTTTCAATGACTCAGTTTTGAAGATACTACAGTGAAACTAGAACCCTTTTTGAAGGCATGTGGCAATATCTATCAAGAATCATACCTATGTTCATAACCCTAGACTATACCAAAGATACATGCATGGTAAATAAGCACATGAAAAGATATTTGATGGCCAGGTGCTTTGGCTCATATCTGTTATCCCAGTATTTTGGGAGTTCGAGGCAGGTGGATCACTTGACCTCAGTTCAAGACCAGCCTGGGCAATACAGTGAAACCCCATCTCTACAAAAAATACAAAAACTAGCCAAGCATGGTGGTTGCATGTAGTCCCAGCTATTGGGAAGGCTGAGGCTGGAGGATTGCTTAAGGCCAGGAAGTCAAGGCTGCAGTGGAGCTGAGATCACACTACTGCACTGGGTGACAGACCCTGTCTCAAAAAAAATAAAATTAAATTATAATTAAAAATAAAGAGGCCGGGCGCGGTGGCTCAAGCCTGTATCCCAGCACTTTGGGAGGCCGAGGCGGGGGGATCACGAGGTGAAGAGATCGAGACCATCCTGGTCAACATGGTGAAACCCCGTCTCTACTAAAAATACAAAAAATTAGCTGGGCATGGTGGTGCGTGCCTGTAATCCCAGCTACTCGAGAGGCTGAGGCAGGAGAATTGCCTGAACCCAGGAGGCGGAGGTTGCGGTGAGCCGAGATCGCGCCATTGCACTCCAGCCTGGGTAAAAAGAGCGAAACTCCGTCTCAAAAAATAATAATAATTAAAAATAAAAATGAAAATTACAATGAAGGCCAGGCATAGGCGTGCCTGTGATCCCATCTACTTGGGAGGCTGAGGCAGGAGAACTGCTTGAACCCGGGAGGCAGAGATTGCAGTGAGCCAAGATCTCGCCACTGCACTCCAGCCTCGGTGACAGAGAGAGACTCCATCTCAAAAAAAAAAAAAAATTTAGTTCACAGAAGCCCAGACGATGGTTGCTGCTGAGGGAGAGAAGAGGTATTGATTAGAGGATCTGATGTTTCAGTTAGACAGGATGAATAAGTTCTGGAGATCTACTGTACAGCATGGTGAACTATAGTTAATAATGCACACTTAAAAATTACTAAGTGAGGCCAGGCACGGTGGTTCAAGCCTGTAATCCCAGCACTTTGGGAGGCCGAGGCGGGTGGATCACAAGGTCAAGAGATCGAGACCATCCTGGTCAACATGGTGAAACCCCGTCTCTACTAAAAATACAAAAAAGTAGCTGGGCATGGTGGCACGTGCCTGTAATCCAAGCTACTCAGGAGGCTGAGGCAGGAGAATTGCCTGAACCCAGGAGGCAGAGGTTGCGGTGAACCGAGATTTCGCCATTGCACTCCAACCTGGGTAACAAGAGCGAAACTCCGTCTCAAAAAAAAAAAAATTACTAAGTGAGGCCAGGAGTGGTGGCTCATGTCTGTGATCCCAGCACTTTGGTAGGCTGAGGTGGGCAGATCACCTGAGGTCAGAAGTTCAAGACCAGCCTGACAAACACAGTGAAACCCCATCTCTACCAAACACAACATTAGCCGGGCGTGGTGGCGCATGCCTATAATCCCAGCTACTCGGGAGGCTGAGGCAGGAAAATCCCTTGAACCTGGGAAGCGGAGGTTGGGGTGAGCCGAGATTCGAGCCACTGCACTCCAGCCTGGGCAACAAGAGCAAAACTCCGTCTCAAAAACAAACAAACAAAAAATTACTAAGTGAAGCTGAGCAACGTGGCTCACGCCTATAATCCCAGCACTTTGGGAGGCCGAGCTGGGTGGATCATGAGGTCAAGAGATCAAGACCAACCTGGCAACACAGTGAAACCTTGTCTCTGTGAAAAATACAAAAATTAGCTGAGTGTGATGGCATACACCTGTAGTCCCAGCTACTCCGGAGGCTGAGGCAGGAGAATTGCTTGAACCTGGGAGCCAGAGGTCGCAGTGAGCCAAGATTGCACCACTGCACTCCAGCCTAGTAAGAGTGAGACTCTGTCTCAAAAAAAAAATTACTGAGTAGATCTTAAATATTCTCACCATACACAATAATGTATAAGGTGACAGATATGTTAATTAGCTTGATTTAATCATTTTACACCATATACATACACAATTTTTGTCAATTCTATCCTGATAAAGCTGAGAGATTGAAAAGAAAAAAAAAAAAAAAAATCAGAGCCAGAAGTAGGACTCAGCCTCCCAACTGATTTCCTGACCACTACACCATACTGCCTCTCTGTATCATATTAACATCATGACTCTCAGGGATTTGTAACCTTCTTGTAATCCAAGACTTCAAAACACCCCACATTAAGAGAATAGTTTCCTTTGACACTTACTCTGTCTTTGTCATGTAGCATATCTGCATACGGATGACCTAAAAAACAAAAAATGACAGGTAACCTTTACATGATATACATCAACACATAAAAGTATTCACACATACCTGAACAGAACAAACGTGTCATGTATTTTAAACTATTTTTGGGTTTCCATGCCTCAGCCTCCCAGGTAGCTGGGAATACAGGCACTTGCCACCATGCCTGGCTAATTTTTATATTTTCAGTAGAGATGGGGTTTCACCATGTTGGCCAGGCTGGTGTCGAATTCCTGACCTCAAGTGACTACCTGCCTCGGCCTCTCCAAGTGCTGGGATTACAGGCATGAGCCACTGTGCCTGGCCTATTTTTTATTTATTTATTTATTTATTTATTTTTAGAAACACGGTCTTACTATGTCAAGCAGGCTGGAGTGCAGTGGCTATGAACAGCCTCAATCACTGAGCACCACAGCCTTGAACTCCTTAGCTCAAGAGAACCTCTTGCCTCAGCTCCAAAACAGCTAGAACTACAAGCACCCATCACTGCACCTGGCCATTTTATTTTAATAGTTTTAAGATGTTATTGCCTAGTGCTGCAGAAAAAAAGTCTCAGAGACAGATGTTCTCAGACCTAAAAATGCTCCAGTAGTTTGCCCTGTCACAGTAATTCCACAGCCACTAGCATCCTGATCTTGTTATAAGTTATACATTTTCCTCCTCAGGAAAAACTCAGACTCAGTCTGCCTAATACTTAACCTAACCTTGCATACATCTGTGCCTGCAGATAACCACTGATGTTAACACTAGGGAGAACAGCTGAGGAAGGAGATGCACTCACATACACCCACTGTTTATGTGACAGGTATCCCACTTGGCATGTTTACTTAACATCATCATGGAAAACTAAGAGTTCACCAATACTGTACTAAAGTCACTTTTCCATATTTCCTACTACAGTAATTCACACATCTGAAAACCCTCAGGCAGGGTCTGGATCAGCACCGAGAACTAGGCAGCCCCTCCCACGCTTTCTGGGAATTGCAGGAGACAGCTAAGGCACTCACACTAAAACAGAAGCCCTCCAGGCCTGGGTCAACACCAGAATCACTAGAAAGCTTATTTGAAACGCAGAGTCCCAGAACACAGACACACTGTGTGTGTAAAAACCAGGTTCTTGCTAGGCATGTTCGCTCACGCCTGTAATCCCAGCACTTTGGGAGGCAAAGGCGAGCAAATCACCTGAGGTCAGGAGTTCGATACCAAGTTGGCCAACATGGTGAAATCTCATCTCTACTATACTACAAAAATTAGCTGGGCATGGTGGCACATACCTGTAATCCCAGCAAAAAACAACAAAAAAAAAAACACACAAAAGCACGATTCTTTGTTCTCATGGCACATCAAGGTTTTATATCTCAAGCCAGCTAAAGATGCCTAGCTGAAACGTAGTCCTTTCTACCTCTGCCCACTTTTTATTTTATTTATTTTTTTGAGGTGGAGTCTCACTCTGTGGTACAGGTTGGAGTACAGTGGAGCGATCTCGGCTCACTGCGACCTCTGCCTCTCAGTTATTCAAGCAATTCTCCTGCCTCAGCCTCCCCAGTAGCTGGGATTATAGGCGCGTGCCACCACAACTGGCTGAATTTTGTATTTTTAGTAGAGACAGGGTTTTACCATTTTGGTCAGGCTGGTCTCGAACTCCTGACCTCATGATCCACCCGCTTCAGTCTCCCAATGTGCTGGGATTTCAGGTGTGAGCTACTGAGTCTGGCCTGGATGTTATTTTCTGAGTGACTGAGACACTAAACAGGAGAGAAAAGACTGGATTGCATTTTCAAACACTCACCAAGAGCAGTGTGGAAGAGAGCTGGAGGAGAAGAGAGCATCTGAGGATACTGCAGTCTCAGAGCAGAGGCAGCAGAGGAGAGGGAGACGAGACAGCTCAAGAGAGCTTGAGTTTGGTTACTCACTAGATGTGATGGACGGAGAGAGAAGATTCAAGAAGCACCAAGACTTCTGGTTAGAATGACAAAGTAGAGGGGAGGCAAGGGAGAACCCAGGAGGAAAGTATGGTATGGGGGAGAGGAACACGATGGAGGTTAGGTGTTTCAGTTTGGACACCTATATAGAGCTGCCAATGACAGGTAGAATTCTGGGTCTGGAGACAGAATTTGCAAGTTGTTAGAATTGAAACCGGGAGAGGTTGCAGTCTCTCAGTGGGGTGTGGAATGCGAAAGGTAGAGGGCTGAAGAAGGAATCCTGGAATAGCTAAGGAGGCAAAAGGAGAAGGGTGGGAGAGATGGCCAGTGTGGAAAGGAAGAAAGAGGAAGTGTCAAGCAGAGTCAGAGGCACTGGGAAGTCCTGGATGCTAATGACTGTCATCAGCAGCAGGAGTGAGCAAGTAGTGGTTACCGAGAGTGATGTCAACAGGTGAAACCCCATCTCTACAAAAATTAGCCAGGCGTGATGGCAAGTGTTTGTAATCCCAGCTACCCAGGAGGCTGAGGCAGGAGAATTGCTTGAACCTGGGAGGTGGAGGCTGCACTGAGCCAAGATTACGCCACTGCACTCCAGCCCGGGCAACAGAGCAAGACTCTGTCTTAACAACAACAAAACAAGAAAATAAAGTCCAAAACGTTTAGAAATATTTTAAGTGGCCATGTGCGGTAGCTCATACCTGTAATCCCAGCACTTTGGGAGGTCCAGGCGGTCAGATCACAAGATCAGGAGATCAAGACCATCCTGGCCAACACGGTGAAACCTCATCTCTAATAAAAATACAAAAATTAGCTGGGCGTGGTGGCACGCGCCTGTAATCCCAGCTACTTGGGAGGCTGAGGCAGCCTCCAAATCACTTGACGCAGGGAGTCAGAGGTTGCAGTGAGCTGAGAATGTGCCAATGCACTCCAGCATCAATGACAGAGCGAGCGAGACTCCACCTCAAAAAAAAAAAAAAAAAAAAGAAATATTTTAAGCTCTTATTCTGTACCAGACACTGTATTACCTTTAATCATTAATTGTATTATACTGTGAGATAATGTATTATTATATTGAAGTATATATTATTTTATATTAAGGCTCAGAGAAGTAACTTGGCCAAGAGAGTAGAGAAGTGGCAGAGCTTGGACTTAAACTCAAGTTCCTCTTCCTGCATTTTGCTACTACCCTTTACAAAATGACCCTGCTGCCGGGCGCGGTGGCTCAAGCCTGTAATCCCAGCACTTTGGGAGGCCGAGGCGGGTGGATCACAAGGTCAAGAGATCAAGACCACCCTGGTCAACATGGTGAAACCCCGTCTCTACTAAAAATACAAAAAATTAGCTGGGCATGGTGGCGCGTGCCTGTAATCCCAGCTACTCAGGAGGCTGAGGCAGGAGAATTGCCTGAACCCAGGAGGCGGAGGTTGCAGTGAGCCGAGATCGCGCCATTGCCTGGGTAACAAGAGCGAAACTCTGTCTCAAAAAAAAAAAAAAAAAAAAAATGACCCTGCCTACGATTTCAGCAACCTCTCTCTCTCTCTTACCATAACCCTACTTTTGTACCACACTCCAGCCATGCTAAACTGCTAGCTGCTCCCCAAACTGCCCCATCTGTTTTTGGTGTTTTTTCTGTTTTTTGTTTGTGAGACAGAGTTTTACTATATTGCCCAGGCTGGACCCGAACTCTTGGGAACAAGCAATCCTCCTGCCTTGGCCTCCCAAGTGGCTGGGACCACAGGTGTGAGCCACTGCACCCAGCCACAAACTGGCTCATCTGAAAGCTTACATGGAATCCCTGCTGCTCAGACTTCAACTTCTCTTCCTATAGAATTGAGATATTATTCAAACATTACCTCACATCCCAAGTCCAGCTAGTTCTTGTTGCTTCCATGAGTTTTTGTGCCCATTTACACCTTTATCTCACTGTGCTGTAAAAAAAAATTTTTTTTTTTTTGAGACAGTCTTACTCTGTTACCTGGGCTAGAGTGCAGTGGCACAATCTTGGGCTCATTGCAACCTCACCTCTCAAGTTCAAGTGATTCTCCTGCCTCAGCCTCCCAAGTAGCTGGGATGACAGGCACGCGCCACCAAGCCCAGCTAATTTTTATATCTTTATTAGAGACGGGGTTTCATCGTGTCGGCCAGGATGGTCTTGATCTCCCGACCTTGTGATCTGCCCACCTCGGCCTCCCAAAGTGCTGGGATTATAGGCATGAGCCACCTTGCCTGGCCTTTATAATGTAATTTTTTTTTTTTTTTTTTTGAGATGAAGTCTCGCTCTGTCTTCCAGGCTGGAGTACAGTGGCACAATCTCAGCTTACTACAACCTCCGCCTCCCAAGTTCAGGGGATTCTCCTGCCTCAGCATCCCAAGTAACTGGGACTACAGGGCGCCCGCCACTATGCCCGGCTAATTTTTGTATTTTTAGTAGAGATGGAATTTCACATATTGGCCAAGCTGGTTTTGAACTCCTGACCTTTTGATCCACCTCAGCCTCCCAAAGTGCTGGGATTACAAGCAAGAGCCAATGTGCCTGGCCTGTGCTGTAATTTTTTATGTGCCTGTCTCTTCCACAAAACTGTAGGGTCCTTGAAGATGAGAACAGGATCTTCTTCATCTTGGTATTCACAGCCTTAGCACAATGATCGCACACCAAATGCACTTAACGATTGCTACATTAACAACTCACATACTTTTAAATGTTTCTTCTAAGGAGGAAAAAAAGCATTTTCAGCTGGGCACAGTGGCTCACGCCTATAATCCCAGCACTTTGGGAGGCCAAGGTGGGCAGATCACCTAAGTTCAGGAGTTCAAGACCAGCCTGGCCAACATGGTGGAACCCTATCTCTACTAAAAAGACAAAAGATTTCAGTGAATCATATCCTTAAAAAAAAAAAAAGTAAAAACACACACAAAAGATTAGCCAGGTGTGATGGCAGGTGCCTGTAATTCTACCTACTCAGGAGGCCGAGACAGGAAAATCGCTTGAACCCGGGAGATGGAGATTGCAATGAGCTGAGATTGCACCACAGCACTCCAGCCTGGGCAACAGAGCAAGGCTGAGTATCAAAAAA